TACCATAGTGTTTGTAATTTATTTTAAAATGGCTCAGAAAAAAATAGTATGTATAGATATATAGGTAGGTAGGTAGGTAGATAGATAGATAAAGACAGATAGAAAGATAGAGAGATATAAAGGGAGAGAGAAAGAAAGAAAAAGAAAAAGCAAATATAAAAGATATTAACAAATAGTGAATTTAGTGAAGGGTATACAGGTGTTCATTATATTATTCTTTCAATTTTTCTTTGGGTCTGACATTTTTCTTTTCTTTTCTTTTTTTTTTTTTTGCTGAGGAAGATTGGCCCTGAGCTAACATCTGTTGCCAATCTTCCTCTTCTTTTCTCGCTTGAGGATGATTAGCTCTGAGCTAACATCTGTGCCAATCTTCCTCTATTTTGCATGTGGGTCATTGCCACAGCACGGCTGATGAGTGGCGTAGGTCTGTGCCCAGGATCTGAACCTGTGAACTGGGGCCACCAAAGGGAGTGTGCCAAACTTAACCACTACGCCATGGGGCCAGCCCCCAAGTCTGACATTTTTCAGAGCAAAAACAGGTAAGAAACAAAGAGATTCAAGAGGTGGAATGGACAGAACTCTGTAACTAATGGGAAGTGGGAATAGAGGCAGAGTGCTGAGTCAGGAATGACAGCTAGATTTCTGGCTTGTCACAGGGGTGCCATCATTGAGATGGGAATCTCTGAAGGAAGAGCAGGCATATAGAGAATAATGAGAGACTAACTAGAAAATGGAGCTGAAATCCCAGCTATTGTTTCTAGTCCTCAAAAGTTTTCAGGTGATTCTAAAACTTGCAATCAAGATTACATACACAGGATTTCTGCTTTCACAACTGCTAGTTGACATTGTACTGGAAGTTCTAGCTAGAGCAATTAGGCAAGAAAAATAAATAAAACGCATTCAGACTGGAAAGGAAGAAGTAAAACTATCTCTAGTCACAGATGACATGATCATATATATAGAAAATCCCAAAGAAAACACAGGAAAGCTCTCGGAGCTAATAAACAAATTCAGCAATGTTTTAGAGAATAAGATGAACACACTAAAATGAATTGTGTTTCTATACACTAGCAACAAATGATCTGAAAAGGAAATTAAGAAAACAATCCAAAAGAATAAAATAACTAGAATAAAATTTATCAAGGAGGTAAAAGACTTGCAGACTGAAAACCACAAAACATTGCTGAAATAAATTTTAAAAGACCTAAATAAATGGAAAGACATTCTGTGTTCATGAATTGGAAGACAATGTTGTAAAGATGGCTATACTCCCCAAATTGATCTACAGATGAAATGCAATCTCCATCAAAATTCCAAGAACATATTTTGCATAAGTGGGCATAAAATTCATATGGAATTACAAGGGATCCCAAAGAGCTAAAACAATCTTAAAAAAGAAGAACGAAGTCAAGGATTCACACTTCCTGATTTTGAAACTTATTACAAAGCTACAAATCAAAACAGTGTGGTATTGGCATAAGGATAGACATAGAGACCAATGAAATAGAATTGAGAGTCCAGAAGTAAACTCATAAATCTATGGCCAATTGATTTTCAACAAGGGTGAAAAGATCATTCAATGAGGAAAAAAATAATCTCTTCAACAAACGGTGGTGGGACAACTGGATATCTACATGCAAAAGAATGGAGCTGGACGCCCTACCTCACAACACATTAACAAATTAACTCAAAATAGATCAATGACCTAAATATAAGAACTCAAACCATAAAATTCTTGGAAGAAAATATAGGGGTAAATAATCCTGACTTTGGACTTGGCAATGGATCTGTGTCAGATATGACAGCAAAAGCATGATCAGCAAAAGAAAAAATAGGTAAATTGAACTTCATCAAAATTAAAAACTATTGTACATCAAAGGACATTATCAAAAAAGTGGAAAGATTGAAAGAATGGGAGAAAATATTTGCACATCACATATCTAATAAAGGTGTAGTATTCAAAATACATAAAGAACTCTTGCAACTCAACAACAAGACAAGCCAATTCAAAAATGGTCAAAGAGCCCTTGTGCACTGTTGATGGGATTATAAAATGGTGCAACCACTATGGAAAACAGTATAGAGTTTCTTCAAAAATTAAAAATAGAACTACCATATGATCTAGCAATCCTTCTGTGTATATATCCAAAAGAATTGAAAGCAGGGTCTTGAAGAGATATATGCGCACCTATGTTCAGGGCAGCATTATTGCCAATAACTAAGAAGAAGAAGCAACTCAAATGTCCATCAACAGATGAATGAATAAACACAATGTGGTACACAGCTACAATGAAATATTATTCAGCCTTAAAAAGGAAGGAAATCCTGTCACATGCTACAACATGGATGAACGCTGAGGTAATTATGCTAAGTGAAATAAGCCAATCACAAAAAGACAAGCATTGTATGATTCCACTTATATGAAGTATCTAAAGTAGTCAAATTTGTAAAAACAGAAAGTAGAATAGTAGTTACTAGGGACTAGGAGAGGGGGAAAAAGGGAGTTGTTGTTTAATGGGTATAGAGTTCCAGTTTTACAAGATGAAAAAGTTCTGGAGATCTGTTTCACAACAATGTGAATTTCCTTAACACTACTAACTGTATACTTAAAAATGGTTAAGAGGTAAATTTTATGTGTTTTTTGCCACAATAAAAAAGGCATAAAGAAAGAAAAGAAACAAACCTGAGGAATCGTCCTCTTTGCCTCACAAAAGAGGCACTACTTCAATAAAAATAATTAGAGGTAAAAAAGAAAAAATAGGCAAAGGACTTGAATAGATATTTCTCCAAAGAAGATATACAAATAGCCAACAAGCACATGAAAAGACGCTCAACATCATTAGTCATTAGGGAAATGCAAATCTAGGATGGCTATAATTTAAAAAAAAGAGAGAGAAAGTAATAAAATAACAAGTGTCGGCCAGGATGTGGAGAAATTGGAGCCCTAATACATTGCTGGTGGAAATATAAAATGGTCCAGTTGCTGTGAAAACAGTTCCTCCAGGAGTTAAACACGGAATTACCACATGACCCAGCAATTCCACTCCTAGGTATATCCCCAAAAGAACAGAAACAAGTACTCAAACATACCAGTGCTATTCACAATAGTAAAGTTGGAAACAGCCCAAATGTCCATCAATGGATGAATGGAGAAACAAATTGTAGGCTACACATACAGTGGAATATTATTCAATCATAAAAAGGAATGAAGTACTGATACATGCTACAATGTGGATGAACTTCAAAAACATTAGAAGCCAGACACAAAAGTCACATATTGCATAATTCCATTGATACGAAATATAAAGAATAAGTAAATCCATAGAGACAGAATACAGACTGTGGTTGCCAGTGGCTGGTACAAGGGCAGAAGGGGGAGCAACTGCTTAACCGGTACAGGGTTTCCTTTGGGGTAATGAAAATGTTTTGCAATTAGATAGAGATGGTGGTTGCACAACATTGTGAATGTATTAAATGCCGCTGAATTGCTTGCTTAAAAATGATTAATTTTATGTCAATTTCACCTCAACAATAAAAATAATATACAGATTTTAAATGCATCATTTCACCAATGTCTTCTACATTAATATCAGATGATCGAACAGGATTTAGTAGAATCTTTCAACTTTGAATGTGAAGCAGGCCTAAACTCAAAACTTTGATTGTGACACTGAAGCGGAAGACGGGATGTAATAATCTTGGAAAGTAAAAATTATTTTTGTTTACTTGAAATGCAGACTTTTTTTCTTGAATAAAAAATATGGAGTAAATACGTAATAGACAATAAATGTTCCTTCCTTCAGCGTACTGATGGGGAGTGTGCGCTTCAGAGTTAGATCACCTGGGTTCCCATTCTTGGTCTCCCAGGAATGTTCCGGACTATCAAATGCACTGTATCTTTCTCACATTTTTCTGTACTTTAGGAGCTGCATCATTGCTGATTCAAGATCTACTGTAATACATTCACTTATTCTTCCTCTGCTAGCTAGCTCCATACTACCACACTCTAATAGACTAATGCATACCAGAGCTGGGGTTACGATCATTTAACAAATATTTACTGAGCAATTATTATGCTCCATGCACTTTGCTGCAGCCTAACTATACCAGTGAAGTCAAGACATGAGCCCTGGCTTAATTTATCATCTAGCAGATATCATTTTACGTATCGTGATTAAGTACTATACAGGAAAACAGGGCTATACTAGAGAATAAGTAGAAAGACACTCTTTTAGGTCGTGTGGGCAGGAAAGGCTTCTCTTAGGAGGGATATCTAATCAGAAAGACCTGCCTGGCATTAACGAGCGGCAATAGATGAGTCTGGGACTTTGGAAGGTTTGTGAGGCCAGGGTAAGGAGTTGGGAAAGTATTTAACTGCAGTGGGAAGTAAATGGTGCATTTCCAGCAAGAGAGTGATACAATTTTGCGTTTTAAAAAGATCGTAGAGGCAGCACAGAAAGCAGGGAGACTATTTAGGAGGCACCGATGGTGGTCTGGACTTGGGGTAATTGTGGTTATTGATTTGCGCGACAGGGTAGCTGAGGGTGTCATTCTGCGACAGAACAACGATGACTGCAGAGCGGTTAGAGGACAAGAGGACCACAGAGTATTTAAAGGAAAAACAAATCACGGTTTTCAGGGCGTCTTGCTGTGAACCGCCGGAACCAGGGCCGGACACGCTCCCGATCTGGAAATGTTCGGCCGGAGTCTGAGGTACCGGACAGCCCGAGAGCTGACCTCCGGTCCTGCCCTCCTTCTTGGGTACCATCAGATGCAGAGTGTCCGGGACCGAGCTGGGGCCCCGCCCCGGCCCAGAAGAACGCGGGAAACATCAGGCAGTGTAGAGGCTAACCTTCAGAACTAAGCCTCTGCCGCCTCATTCAAGCCCCGCCACTAGGGTGGCTGCGTACTTGCCACCGCGCAAAGCCACCGCAGGCCGCTGAACAGCCCCACTCCCGGAAGTGCAGCCTACCCAGGCTCACTTCCGCTTTCCCAGTCGTCTGCCCTTCTCGCGAGAACTGGAAGAGCCTATGTGACCTGCGCTAAGCGGAAGTTGGGCCTCTTTTTCGTGGCGGCTCGGAGGCGTTCGGCTGCTTCAGCATGAAGGTAGGAAGTGGTGGCGGGCGTTGCATTAGGCTCGGGGAAAGTGAATCGAGTTCGAGAACACGGCATTGCCACAGTCCTACCTCTCCAAAATCCTGGCTCTAGCTGGGGAAGGGTCTGAGGCAGGACAAGCCTCGCCCTTCTGGGGCCAGAGCTCTTTGGGAAAGCGGATGGTGAGCGATTGCTGCTGGAGTTGCGCCGCCCGGCAGCGCAAGCTATGGTGGCGTCCTGGCACCCTGCCGGGACAGATGCGGCTCTGCTGTCCGGGTAGCCGCCCCCGGGTCGGCCTCCTTGCTCCGAGAGGGTGAAGGCTGCGGAGCGCCTGTGGCCCGCGGAGCGCCTGTGGCCCGCGGAGTCATTCCGCGAGGCTTGAGGAAAGACGTATCCCAATTGGAGTGCGGCGCTCGTTGCGCGCTGTTACGTACACATGTGCTTTAGAGAATAAAATGGACATCTCAGATTTTCTGCTGCTCGTGTGGGGGTGACATGAAAAGCTTTTTGCATTAGGATTGTCTTTGTTGGTGGCTCTGCGGTTTTCATAAAGCTCTTTTTTCCCCCGTTTAATCCTTAGCTGAACATCTCTTTCCCAGCCACTGGCTGCCAGAAACTCATTGAAGTGGACGATGAACGCAAACTTCGTACATTTTATGAGAAGCGTATGGCCACAGAAGTTGCTGCTGACGCTCTGGGTGAAGAGTGGAAGGTAAAAATTGAGTACAGCATTGAGTTGTTGGAACTAGTTGAGAGGTGGTAAACGCTGCTGATAATTGGGGTGTGTAATGGGGTTCAGACTCAGGGTTCTGTCTTCTGATCTTGGGTTAGTGACTTCTAAATGTCACTTTATAAGGTTGAGCTGTCACCTGGCAGGGTTATGTAGATCACATGGGAAAATATACCTGAAGTTCTTGTCCTGCAAGCTAATGGTCTCCGAAGGGTATCTTGAATTAAAAGTGCCAAGAAGGGTTGTTTCTGATTTGTTGCTCGTTGGTCCTTTGGTTTTTAACGTAGTCTTTCTCCCCCTGGAGCTGTTACCGCTGGTAAAGCAAAGGCTAGGAATATGACTTGATTGGAAGGAATTTGCTAATTGAGCTTGGCAAATTGGAAATGTAGATAAAACTTAGTGGCCAGAGAATATTAAGAAGTTTCAAATCGGTCTTAATTAACTGTACTTCCTAGAATTGAGGGGTACACCTTCGTAGAGGCCACAGTCCTTTATTTTATAACGCGTCATTGTATTCTCCTGCAGGGTTATGTGGTCCGGATCAGTGGTGGGAACGACAAGCAGGGTTTCCCCATCAAGCAGGGTGTCTTGACCCATGGCCGTGTCCGCCTGCTATTGAGTAAGGGGCATTCCTGTTACAGACCGAGGAGGACTGGAGAAAGAAAGCGCAAATCTGTTCGGGGTTGCATTGTGGATGCCAACCTGAGTGTTCTCAACTTGGTCATTGTAAAAAAAGGTGAGGGTTGCTTGTGTTCTTGAGTTCAATTTTTGTTGACATTGATTTAAAGTTGATTGTCCGAGTGCTTTTTCATTTGCAGTATCCACAGTTTGACCAATGGACTTTTTTACCAGTGCATAAACAATAAATTAGAGTTCTTGTTTGTGAGGAAGTTGTTGAATTAAAATGTCTTTGTTCACTTGTCTCTTTTAGGGGAGAAGGACATTCCTGGACTCACTGATACTACTGTGCCTCGTCGGCTGGGGCCCAAAAGAGCTAGCAGAATCCGTAAACTTTTCAATCTCTCTAAAGAGGATGATGTCCGCCAGTATGTTGTGAGAAAGCCCCTAAACAAAGAAGGTAAGGGAGATTCTGCAATCTTAATGTCAGTAAGTTAACGCTGGCTTAATTTCAGTAATTTGGCACTAGCATTTTGTGTGCATATTAGATGATAAAATCTGTGCCCACTCTTTATTTACCTGGAGTCTGAGTTTTCAGGAAATTATTGGGGAAGAGTGTCAAGATATGCAGTTGGTGTTAATCCTTGTTACATCCAGTGCCCTCTTATATTTTCCTTGAAAATGTGCCTGTGAGTCAATTGATGTGTAAGTCTACCCAAAGATAACTTAGCAGACATTAAGATCTTGCTTTTGGATTAGTGGAAAGAATGATAGAAAATTCTGGGACTATGATTGAATGTGCTCTCACTCCCACACACTTTTGCTTTTTCTTTCCATAGCAGAAGTTCTAATTTTTTTGTTTTTTGTTTATAAAAGAAATACGTGCTTTCATCAACTGAAGTTGCTTTAACTTCTGGCCCTCGTTTTCTTCATCTGTAGGATGCGAGTAGCGATAGTAAGAGTTGTGAGAATTAGAAATTAGAAAAATATTTTAGTAAAAACATTAGGGAACAGGTGTTTGGGATTTTGGAGTTTTATATTTTAAGACGGTATAATGTTTATTAAGCAACATAACCCATCACCAGTGAAGTCTTTGGCAGCGATGCTCTGTAACATTGATATTTCTGTAGTGAAATGTATGAATATTTACAGTAAATAGAATAAATAGCACGTCAGTTCAGGTTGGGTTCTCCTGACAAATCTGAAAAAATTTGAGTTTTGGTTTTCAGGACTGGGGACTTAAACCTATACCTAGCCTATACTAAGTGCTCATTGGTTACTCATTCCAAATATTTGGACACCTATGTGCCAGGTACTATTTTAAGTGTTGATACGGTATGAACACACGAATTACTTTCCTCTTGAAGTTTACATTTAAAAAAAATAATTGGCAAATATATGGTAGTTCCCCATAATCAGACCCCTGGCAGTACCATCAGTGTAGTAAGGTGCTAGTTGATAGGTGTTCATAAAATGGTTCTTGTATTTTTATAATTAAGGGATTGTTATGTAACTTTTAGCATAACCTGAACAATTGAGCAATTGAGCGTTTATTCTTAGAGTATTTACCTGAGGTGTTTATTACTCCCACAAGGTGTCCACAAATTACAATGATTACATCTGAAAAGACTTCTCCAAAGCAGATCTCTAATCCATAGGATTTTAGATTACAAATCATACAGACTAAATGAAGATATTCTATGAACAGCATGCCACACATTCTAATGTTAATGATTTGGTTCCCCAGATTGGCAGGATCTGTCTTGAAAAATACAGATTCAAGCATAAATGGGACTTTAAAGCATGGTGGGATAGTGATGCAGATAATGCTTTCCTTAGTTTTCACAGACAACTGAAATATGCAGTTGACACTGTTTTTAAATAATGCTCCTGTGTCTTACAGTACATGCATATATAATACCCTACTAAGACAATCTAATTGTGGAAGGGAAATGGAAGTGAGTAGGAAAAAGCTTGAGGTACGAGTAAATTATTAAGCAAAGTAACCTAAATTTACATATGATCTTGGATTTGACATCCAACCTGTTGATGTGGTTTAGTGAGCTATCTGAATGAGGATTAAATGTGCTAATTAGGAAAACACTGGCATCTAGTAAACAAAGTAAGCCTGGTCACTTTTTAGAAGGAATTCTCAATTTTCTTGATATTTTGACAGTATTTAGCCTATCTTGGATTTTTGTTGACAAGATAGTATTTTAATTTGTAGAATAGTTCAGATTTCATTTAAAAGGCCTCATACAAGTACATATGAGTTTTCATAGATAACTGCTACCTCAAGTTTGCATCTGTTTCTAATGTTTTAAAAATGTAGATGTGGATCCTAATGAACAAGGGTGTTCTTGAGAAGTGATTGAGTCATTATCTGAATTTTTAGGTAAGAAACCTAGGACCAAAGCACCCAAGATTCAGCGTCTTGTTACTCCGCGTGTCCTGCAACACAAACGTCGGCGTATTGCTTTGAAGAAACAGCGTACTAAGAAAAACAAGGAAGAGGCTGCAGAATATGCTAAACTTTTGGCCAAGAGAATGAAGGTGAGTCTAAGATGATGAGGGAGGGGAGTGGGCAGGCCTGGCTTTCGATTTGCTTTTTTAATCCAGACAAGCTTTTAACTGTGCTTTTTGCTTTAACTCTGCTTTTTTGTTCTGTTTAGGAGGCCAAAGAAAAACGCCAGGAACAGATTGCCAAGAGACGGAGGCTGTCCTCTCTGAGAGCTTCTACCTCTAAGTCTGAGTCCAGTCAAAAATGAGATTTTCTAAGAGTAACAAATAAATAAGATCAGATATCAAATCTCCTTTGACTTTTTGTTGATGATAAAACTTACATAAATGAAGGGAGAGAAACTCAGGTCATAGAAAAGGGGGGGTATTGTATCCAGCAATCTAATGGTGGATAAATAAAGTCTGCAAGAGATACTTGAAGGTGAAATCCTTCAAATTCAGAGACTGAGACTGTACTGTGGTAGTGGAAGAAATGCCAGGACAGGGTTTCTTTTGGTGGGTGGCTCAGGAAAGGATTCTTAGTATAAGGATTTATTGCCTTTTCGGCAAAGCAATGGAACAATTTAGGGGAAATAAATGACTAGGACTGTTAATCTTTTACACACTTTATTTTGAGGAATAGTTTTTAAAGATCTATACATAATACATGAAAAGTGCCTTCTGAAGATGGACATTTGTCATATTTTTTAAAAACTCATTAAAAGCATAGGTAATGGATACCATTTTAAAACAGTTCACAAAGCTTTTAAAACCAGTGCAAATTTATTGCATTAACAGAAAGCTCTCTGAGTTATTATTCATGCTTTTATTCTGTGTCACACTCTGAAAAGGAGTTAAACGCTCTTGCATCAATGAAGAATGCAAAAAGAGAAAGTATACGTTTCCTAATGTACCATGTCTGGTTTCTGTAGTAATCGTTAGAACTAATCTTCATAGATTAAAAGGGTCTTAAAAAAAAGGCACGTTAGGCTTTAAGGGTGAAGAAAAGGAGCTCCATATTTGCTGAAGTATATATTTTAACCACAGGTCAGAATTTTTAAATAGCTTTAACAGAGACTGAAGCAGTGCTTCACAATTTAAATGTGCATATGAATCACTTGGGGATCTGGCTAAAATATGGACTATGATTGGGTAGTTTGAGTGGGGCCCCAGGTTCTACATTACTAGTTAAGTTCCCAGTTGAAGCCAATGCCAGTCCCTGGACTGTACTGTGAGCAGCAAGACTCCCAGACAATAGTAAGATCCCCATTGCTCTTAATACGTACTATTAAAGTTGCATAACATGGAAAGAAGTCAATTGACAGTGTAAATTGAACTTAAAAGGGAAAATGCAGCATTTTAAAAAGCCAAAATAAAAGGGACTGACATACTACAGTCGTAGGGGGTAACTTAAAGGCCAAAAGGTAAGTTGGGGGTATAGTCCAGAACTGTGTATTCACCAGAACCTGTTTGGTTCTAATGCACAAAACATGAGAACAACCCCGCTTTCTCATTTTAAGGAGTGCAGTCACTAAAGTGGATAGATACGGGTGGTCTAGACTAAACGCTCATGAATCTGGCAGATTAAGATGGAGAACTTTTTAGGGATGTTGGAGAATATTTCATTAGAAAAATGTTCAATCCTGTATTTACTAGTGTGTACCAAAAATGAAGTAAAAGGGCAATAATAGAATATTTCAGTTATAGGAGACTTATTTATGCTCATTAGTTAACAAATTAACCATGCAGGTTGCTATAATCAACCTACAAAATGCAGCTAAAGTTAATCAGGCTGTCTGATCTAAAGCCTCTATTAAGGTAAAACTAAAAAATTTGGACTAATTTGAAAGATTACTTTCAGAAGTTATCAGGATTTAAGTTTTATATAGTGCTACAAGTCATTCTAGATACTTCTAAATCTTTCTATAATTTGATATCTGGTTTTTAGCTATAAATTTTTAGTGGTACCCTTTCTGTGATAGGTGCTAGAAAAGGCCTTTAAGCAATTTTAACAGATCAGCTCCAATGTCTAAAGGACAGCAGCACGCTAAGGTTTCCAGTATATAATGGCTAAGTTATTTTGAATGTTATAAAAAGTTATTAGAAAACTTATAATTTGATACAATATAGCCAAGTATTCTTAAATGTGTAAGGACATGTTCATTACAGGTTTGTTTTTCAGTGGGAAGTGCTTTGTTAAGTAATTTAGTTCAAGTTAATGAAGACTACAGAGAAGAAATGGAAAAACAATGTTGGAATTCTAAAGATCACAAAGGTTCAAATTAATTGCACACATTTCAAGAGCCTTAAAAGTGTAACAGAGACAAGCACAGCAAACATAAGAATTTTTCATTTTATTCAACCTCAATTTTTTTATATGCAAGGCAATTCCAAACTTTCTGTTGGGGCAATAAGTGTTAAGTATATTAAAACTAGTACCAAGCCTTAAGTTGCAAAAATATATACTCTGAGACAGTGCAAAAAATCCATTTTTAAGGTAATGAGAATTGTACATAATTTCTGACAAGTTCTTTCACTTAGTATGTTCACAAGTACTTAAGTACTAAATTGAAACTAGAATTCTGCATAGGTCAGATTAACCCTGAAATGTAGAAAAACTACTACAGTAACAATTTTTAATTTTTTAAAAGATTATACCAGGCGGAAGGGAGACTTGTGCTGTTAAATGTACCACCTGGAAAAAATTTTTTGTATCAACTGATTTAGTCATCTGCATAATTACTGTAAAAGCACACACACTACCATTGGCTTTTTAAACCATACGGAGTTAAGGCAAATTTGACTTTTCCTAAGGGATGTTTTTAACAAAAGGCATGATAAATGTCCGAGTGAGGCATGTGAGGTCATGATTTTCTTAAACCTACTGGCAACAAGCTCAATAAGCTTAAAATTTTAAGACTTAATTGATTCATCCTAAAAAACAGTATTTACAAATGCACAAATAATAAGCATACAAATCTATTATACAAGAATAAAATTCTGTGCAGTGCAAGTTTATCCCACAGGTTTTTAAAAGTGACCAATAGCAACAATTTATGTGCCTAAACAATTTCAGGTCCAAAGACAATATACATACGCATTTTAAGCATGTTCCAATTTTGTAAATTATGAAGCTGAGTTAATTTCATTTAAACTATCTGATTGGCTCATTTATTCCAATTTTAAAGCTGCTGCAAATTAACATGGTATTGGGAAGAGGATGAAAGGAAGCAACTGGATATTCAAGATAAAATCCATTAAGGAAGATAATACATAATATGAAGGGTGAAGATACATATTAAATTCAAAACCGGAGGCAACGCAGTTGTCATGAGACTTTCAGGTATAATTTTGAGATTAATGACTACAGATGAATTTAGTAGTAGTCACTTATTTAATAGTTGGAGACCCCTTTCAGAAAACTGTATTGCAACACGCAATCTAAGAATTTTAATAAATATAATTTGGCTGTATATACACAAACCTACACAGCCACACTTATATATACACACATACACAAATAGTTGCTCTTATAATTTGAGATTATTTCATTTGTTTTGGGCTTAGGCAAGTTTATATTAATTTGCCATTCCCCAAACCCCAGAGCTTCAAATATAAACAGAATGCCAAGGATGAATGTGGTTTCTCATGATCAAACTACTACAAATACTGAGAAATCCAAAAACAGTTTTCAGCAGAGGCAGATAAACAGTTCAGAAGTTGCAAATCTTCAACATCAATAAACCCTGGGGCGTTTTAATGGCATTTTTACATTGCGAGATGATTCAGTATGAATTACATTTCATTATATATTGTCCCAAGAGTTACCTGATTTCAGTTTTCACCAATTCTTAACATTTGGAACAAACTTTGAATGCTTCCAGATTGAATCTATTCCCCCAGCTTTGTGTCAAAAATCTAGTGAATCTCTTATTTAAATGAGAGGTGCTCCAAAACACTTTCTGCACCATTCCACACTGACACTTGGTGGAGCATCAATTTTCTGCAACTTGTCAAGAATCTCTGAAGGTAGGTTACTGTATGCAAGTCCATATTCATTGTCAAAAGCCTCTGAAAGACATTTTCAAAAATGCAGTAAGTATCTGTTAACTCAAGAAAGCAAAAGCCATGCATTTAAAAACAGTAGTCAAATCATATTTTATTTATATATTTAAACTGCATATTTAAAGGTAGAAATCTTTTTAAAGGCAAGTGGAGTTTTTACCTATACCAGTTACAATTTTTTAAATTACTTTAGAAAATAAAATTAAGAACTTCTAGTAATCCTTAATTAACCAACTTACCAATATCAATATTCTCTCTTCCAAGAGACACTAAGGATAAGAAGAGGATTTCTCTGTATAAACTCCTATAAAACAAATATTTTTAAAGTTAATGGGCAAAGAGCATAAAAATACACACATACAAAGGATTTTTAAAATGGTGAAAAAAGATTAAGTTCTGTAGTCCAGTTAACAGTAATGTACCCATATCAATGTCCTGGTTTTGATATTACACTACAGTTATATGAGATGTCACCTTTGCGGGAAGCTCGGGTACACTGAACTTTTTGTACTATTTTTGCAACTTCCTGTGAATTTCTATTTCAAATTAAAAAGTCGAAAGTTAATGGGCATAAAGCTTCACACTGTTTTACAATTAAAAATGGCTTATTTTAACTTTACTATAAATTTTTTAACAATATAAGTAGTAGATAACTGTTTTATCTGTAATTTCTAATTAAAGTTTACAAAAGCAGAGTTTTCTCTCTGCTGCTTTCTCTCTTTTGCTGCTTGACAAAGTAACAGATTAATTTGTAAGTAAGCTGGGAGTCTAAAACCCCTGGACACAAACAGTGTGAAAGATGGTGTGGTCTCTACTATTTAATCCAACAGTAAAGGATAAATCACCTTCATTTGATTTGTGAACATAAAAATGTCACAAATAAAACCTTTAAAATGAGTTTCATGACTCAGTTGTTAAAAATGAGGAGAAAACTTAAGAAATGAACTGATTTCTAAGTATTTACATAGAAGAAAAATTAGAAAGTAATGCTGATTCTGATGATGCTCCAAGTAGCTTTCTTTAGAAGCCTCAGAAGCCATAAAATGTCATTTCTAATATTCCCTCCCTGCCCCTAAACTACAGATGCTTGAAACTAGCTGCTCTTTAGACTGTGAAGGAGGTCATCTCTACCTCAACTGTTGAGATTACAAGAGGATCCATCCATTTTCATTATCAGTTCTTGCCCTATCACTTCTGAGATTATCTTCAAAGATGCCATGACCGAAGAAACTTGAAAAGGACCTGGAAACACTGTTAATGTTTGACAGAATTTATGATGTCCCCTTTTCTGAAGCTTCCACTGCAGAATTCACTTATGCTGAAATTGGGGTGAGCACTGATCCAAGCATGTTGGCAGACAATAGTAAGAGGATCGGGATAGCTCCATATCCTTTGTAATTCACTGCTTCCCTCACTTTCCTAAATTGTTTCTACTCCTAAACCCATTTTTTTTTTAACATCCCACAAGAAAAGATAAGATGTGTGGGTATGACAAGGCCCAAACAAGGAGTACATACGTATAACATCAATGTTAACAAGTTCACAGAAGGTTTCCAGTGAACAGCAGGAAACCCAAAAGACTCCGTACATTTAGACATGAATGAATTACCTCTTAAAATTTAATCTATTCCTCCAGACAGACACTTTTATTATGTTTGTGCTCAAGTATGAATGTATACATTTGGGTAGCACTTTTTAAAACAATCAGATGTTCTACAATGAGTATGTGTTTCTTTTACAACCAAAGATATTTAAAAAATAATTTTTAAAAAACATGAAATTATTCTGAGTGATATCAAACAAAAAATACTGGGTTATTACCTTTGTCTTTTCATGTCTGGCTTCATTTGCTGTGAAAGCAGGTTGATGGGTTTAAGAACATCATTATGTTGAATACTCTGCCTGATGGTTTCTACTAAAGTGCTTGTTGCTTGTTGTTCCTCTGACAGAGACAATTTCTTTTCAGAATCTAATAATAAGAACACAGTAATTAAGAATACATTTATCCACTCTAACTATTAAAGAAGTTTTTTCCCAGAGTTGTAGCATTTTTTAGTTTTTTATTCAACATTACCTCCCTCCTACTAGTAAAATTATGTGGCAATGGGACCAGCTAAAAAAATATTTTCCTGCTTTCTTCAGATAGGAGAGGCCTATCCCTGTTCTCTTTCCCTGGATTGGCTTCCTGATGGAGGCTGGGATGTGACAGCCTATACTCCAGCAGCCATCTCATGACCATGAAGTAACCTTTACTGATGGAAAAGCAGACACAACAAAAGGAGCCTGGGTCCCTGATGACACAGGAGTTGCCTACCAGTCCTGCAATGTCTACTTTATTCCTTCTTTATATGAGAAAATAATCTTTGCCTGTTGAAGCATGTTAGTTTCTATTAACTATAGCAGAGTATAATCCTAATTGATACAAGGGTAATTCTAGAATTATTAAGAACAAACATTTATACAGATTTCATAGATTACAAAAGTGCTTCAATGGTAAACTGGAATTGAATCATACTAACATTAAAAATATACAAAATCAACAATGTGTGCTTTGCCCAGAAAAAGGGAAAACTTTAATACTGTAGGTAATTCCAGCAACCATACAATTTTATTTATGCCGACGTTAGTTGAGAGGGGAATATGTATTCAATAGCTCCCCAGGCAGGCTCATTTTGAGTGCCTGTCATAAAGCAAGCTGTTGTATTTTTCATACAACACGGCCCCTTATTTAATAAAGGCAACTAGTAATACTTCATTTGTGTTCAACCAAAGAAATAGCAAAGTTCTCTGTTAGAATACAAGAGGAAATACTGGCTGCTAGGGGTTTTGATCCTAGCTCTTCTACCTGCTAAATGATAACCTTTGAATAGATTTGACTTGCATGTTATGCTGTGATTTTAGAGCCTAACCCAAATGTAATATGCGACTTCATTATTTCTCCTTTAATTCAATTTTTTAAAAACACCTCTGTTAAGATGTAATTCCCAAACCACTCAATTCACCCACTTAAAGTGTACAGTTCAGTGGTTTTAAGTATGTTCATGGAGTTGTGCAACCATCACAATCAATTTTAGAACATTTTTATCACTCCAAAAGAAACCTCCTACCTATTAGTAGTCACTCCTCTGTCTTCTCAGCCCTAGGCAACCACTAATCTACTTTCTGTCTCGACAGATTTGCCTATTCTGGATATTTCATATAAATGGAATCATACTGTCTGTGCTCTTTTGTGACTGGCTTCTTCTATAATGTTTTCAAATTCATCCAGGATGTAGCATGTATCAGTATTGATTATTTTTATTGCCAAATAATATTCCATTATAAGGATATACCATACTTTATTTATCCATTCATCAGTTGATGGACATTTAGGTTGTTTCCATTGTTTGGCAATTAAGAAAAATCCTGCTAAGAACAGTGTGCAAGTTTTTACATGGACACATAGTTTTCATTTCTCTTGGGTTTATACCTAAGAGTACAACTGGGTATGTCATACAGTAACTCTATTGAGCCCTTTAAGGAACTGTGAAACTGTTTTCCAAAACAGCTGCACTATTTTTTATTCCAATCAGCAGTGTATGAGGGTTCCAATTTCTCTATATCCTTACCAACATTTATTAGTATCTGTCCTTTTGATTATAGCCAATCTAGTGAGTGTGAAGTGGTATCTCTTTGTGGGTTTGATTTGCATGTCCTTGATGTCTAGTGATATTGAGCGTCTTTTCATTTGCTTTTAGCCATTTGTGTATCTTCTTTGCAGAACTGTCCATTCAGATCCTGCTATGGTCTGAATGTTTCTATCTCCCCAAAATTCATATGTTGAAAACCTAATGCCCAATGTGATGGTATTAGGTGAGGCCTTTGGGAGGTGATAAGGGAGGGCTCTGCCCTCATGAATGGATTAACGCCCTTAAAAAAAAAAAAAAGGAGAGAGACCCCTCACCCATTACACCATCTGAGGATATAATGAAAAGTGTGCAACCTGGAAGAGGGGCCCTCAACTGACCATGCTGGCCTCCTGATCTTGGACTTCCAGACTCCAGAACTGTTGAAATCAATTTCTGGTTTTTATAAGCTACCCAGTCTGTGGTATTTTGTTATAGCAGCCCAAACAGACTAAGACAGATCCTTTGCCCATGTTTTAAATGGATTGTTTTTTTATTATTGAGTTGTAAGAGTTCTTTATATATTCTGAGTACAAATCCCTTTTAAAATATATTATTTGAAAATATCTTCCCCCATTTTGTGAGTTGATGTTTCACTTTTTTAATGGTTTATTTTTCAGCACAGATGTTTCTGATTTTGATTAAATCCAATTTATCTACTTTTTCTTTTGTCGCTTGTGCTTTTGGTGGTGTGGTATCTAAGAAGGCCTCATCCCAAACAAGGTCATGAAGATTTCCTCCTGTGTTTTATTCTAAGAGTTCTATAGTTTTGGCTCTTACATTTAGGTCTAGGATCCATTTTGAGTTCATATTTATATATAACTTGAGGAAGCAATCCAACTTCATTTTTTTGCACGTTGCTCCAGCTGTCCCAGCACTATCTGTTGAAAAGTCTATTCTTTACCCACTGAATGGTCTTGGCACTCCTGTTGAAAGGCAATTGACTATACATGTGAGGGGTTTATTTCTGGAAACCCAACTCTATTCCATTGACTTATATGACTATCTCTATGCTAGTATTCCACTTTCTTGATTACTATCTTTGTAGTAAGTTTTTAAATTGAGAAGTATGAGTCCTACAACTTGGTTCTTTTTCTTTTTTTTTTTTTTTGTGAGAAGGACCAGCCCTGAGCTAACATCCAATGCCAATCCTCCTTTTTTTTTTTTTTTTTTTGCTGAGGAAGACTGGCCCTGGGCTAACATCCATACCCATCTTCCTCTACTTTATGTGGGACGCTGCCACAGCATGGCTTAACAAGCGGTGCATCGGTGCACACCCGGGATCCAAACCGACGAACCCTGGGCCGCCGCAGTGGAGCGCACGCACTTAACCACTTGCGCCACCAGGCCGGCCCCCAACTTGGTTCTTTTTCAAGATTATTTTGGCTATTCTGGGTCCCTTAAGTATCCATATGAATTTTAGGATAGGCTTGTCAATTTCTGTAAAAAAGCCACCTGGAATTTTGATAGGGACTGTGTTGACTCTGTAGATCACTTTGGGAGTACTGCCATTTTAACAATATTAACTCTTCTGATCCATAAACATGGGATTTCTTTCCATTTATTTAGGTTGTCTTTAATTTCTTTCAGCAATGATTTTAGTTTCCAGAGTACAAGTTTTGTACTTTTATTGAATTTATTCCTATCTATTTTATTCTTTTTAATGGAATTATTTTCTTAATTTCATTTTTGGGATTATTCATTGAAAGTATAGCAATACAGCTGATTTCTGTACATTGATCTTACATCCTCCAACTTTGCTGAACTTATTTATTAGTTCCCTATGTTGTGTGTGTGTGTGTTCCTTAGGATTTTCTATATGAAACATCGTAATCTGCAAACAGAGACAGTTTTATTTCTTCCTTTCCAATTTGGATGCCTTTAATTTTCTTGCCTAATCGCTCTAGCAAGAATCTCCAGTATAATTTTGAACAGAAATGATGAAAACAGACATCCTTGTCTTGTTCCTGTACTTTGGGGGAAAGGATTCAGTCTTTCACCATTAAGTATGATGTCAACTGTGGGTTTTCATAGATGCTCATAATCAAGTTGAGGAAGTTCCTTTCTAGTCCTAGCTTGTTGAGTGTTTTTAACAAAGGGTGATGGATTTTGTCAAATGCTTTAGCTGTGCCCATTGAGATGATCATGTGGATTTTGTCCTTTATTCTATTGATATGGTGTATTACATTAATGATTTTCAAATGTTAAACCAACACTGCATGCCAGGGATAAACTGCACTTGGTCATGGTATACAATCTTTCTTCTATATTGCTGGATTCGGTGTGCTAGTATTTTGTGGAGGATTTCTATGTCCATAATCATAAGTGATACATATTTTTAGTTTTCTTTTCTTATGCTGTCTTTGGTTTTTATAGTAGAGTAATACTGGCCTTCTCACCAAAATCTCCCCTATTTCTAGGGGAGTGCCCTCAGGCTTGAACCTCTCCACACTCTATTCCAAATAAAAGTCATTTCCTTTGGGGAAGAGTTTCAGAGCTCTCTGTTCTTATGACCTGCCTCTCCCCGAGTAAAATCTCTGAGCCACTGCTCTGGAGCTGGGGCTGGGAACAGTGGCCCTTCTCTTGGAATGACACTCCTGCTTTGTGAATGGGGTGCTGGGTAGGAGCAGTAGCCTGTGGTCCTTTCAGCTTGCCTCTCTTGGCATAAAACCTCTGCCCTATTAGCAAGATGCAGTGAGAACAACTGGAGCCCCAGTATTCTCAGCTTGCCGAAATGGGGGTAGAGCCTCTGCCCAGTGAATGGGGGCTGAGTGGAAGAAGTGACCCTCCACCTCCCCTGAAATTTAGCCTGTGTAATACAGAGCTGGGAGGGTGAGAACTGCCGGACAGCCTGTCTTTCCCAGGGAGATGCTGTAGCCCTTGCCTGGGAGCCGAGGGGAAGCAGCAAGTCATAGCTTAAGTGCCACAAAACTCGCCAATTATGGTTGTGTTGCTGGGAAGAGGGTCTGCCGAGCTCCGGATACTGCCATTCCAGAAGTCATCACTCACTTAATTCCTATATATCTTTTAATGTTATTTATATGCCGATTCTTCATTTAAAGCAGCCAATCAAGTAAAGAAAAAAGGCCATTCTTGAGAGCTCTAAATTTTATTCCCACCACAAATTACAGAACATCTTGAAACACTTGTCTATTTCAAGAGAGGCAAGAAAACAACTAAAGAAATGGCAGCTCTAATTCTATTCTTTTCTAGCATAAATTTCAAGGTTACTCTGCTCCTACCTAAAAAAACATTCAAATATCAGAAGTGGAACAACCACCACAAAAAGACAAAAAAATAACTTATAATATATTTAACCATAATTTTGCAACTGGCATATTTCAAGAGAAAACATCTGATTTTTTTCTTCCAGTTTTAAGTAAAAAAATTGCAAATCAGTGATAGATTGTTGAAAAAGTACAAAACAGTATAAAATAATAAGTGAACTTTTCTCTTTCTCTTCTGAGTAGCCACTGTTAACAGCTTGGTATATATGGTTTTAGACCTTTTTCTATGCATATATTAAAACATATATATTTTTGGTTTTGTTTTTATACAAAAAAGAGAAAAGATTATATACTGTTCTACAACTTGTCTTTTTTTTTCACTCAATATATAATGGACATCTATCCTTTCAGGCACCCATATACAAATGACTCTCATTCTTTCTCTTGGCTGCCAATATTTCATAGTGTGGATTTATCACAATTCTCCTGTTAGGTATTTACTTAAAGTTTTTCATTATTATAAATAATCATTGTACAGACAGCTTTATACACTGTATTTCTATAGAACAAAGTCATCTCATTGTGACTGCTGAGTCAAAGGGTATCTACATATTAAATCTGGGTAATGTCTGCCATATTGTTCTCCAGAACTGTATCATTTTACATTTCTAACAGTATATCAAAGTGTTCCTTTACTCTATACCCTCAGCAATATTAGATATTACTAATGGTTAAAATTTTTTGCCATCCTGATGTATCTAAGTTTATATTTCCTTTTTTTTTTAAAAAAAAAAAAGTCATATTTCACTAAATAATAAGATTGAGCGTTTTTTTCATGTTTGTATTATAGACTGAATTATGTTCCCCCAAAATTCATATGTTGAAGCTCTAACCCCCAACGTGTTGTATTCGGAGATAGGATCTTTAAAGAAGAATTAAGGTTAACTGAGGTCATAAGGGTGGGGCCTTATTCCAGTATGACTGGTGTCCTTATAAGAAGAGAAAAGGACACGAGGGAGATGCAGGTGCTCACAGGGGAAAGGGTATCTGTGAGCCAAAGAGAGAGGCCTCAGGAGAAACCAAACCTGCGGCCACTTTGATCTTTGACTTCCCATCTCCAGAACTATGAGAAATAAATTTCTATTGTTTAAGCCACCCAGTCTGCGGTACTCTGTTATGGCAGCCCTAGCAAACGAATACAGTTTGTAGAAGCCATTTAATGTTTCTCCCGTGAACTGCCTATTGATATCATTTGCTCACTTATCTATTCAGTTGTTTGTGGTTTCTTAGTGACTCAGAGGGCTTCTGAATACTGGATGATAACCCTTTAAACCCCTTGTAAAAATACGTTCTAAATATAAAAGACTAAAAATGAAGCAAGAATCTGTGAGACTAGTATCCAGATAATTGAAATTATGATCCTATACCAACACATCCAAATCAGTTTTCCACTATATAGAATTTACTCTCCAAATACCTAATCAAATTGCTATTTGACAGAAAAATCACAAAAAAACACTCTTCAACTCAGCTGGAGACCTGACACAGTTAAATGGGTCAATACAATAGCAAATCAATTTCAACTATAAAATGGAAAGAATCTTGAAGAGATACTGAAAATGAATTAAAATTTTTAAAATAAAGCAAAATAATTTGTTTTTCTCATCTCCTTAATTCTATTTTTCCCCCAGTAGTCTATTCTTCTTTATTGCTAAATAGTATTCTTCTGTACAGATGGATTGTACCACATTTGCTTAGTCATTCACCTGTGGATGGATATTTGGGTTCTTTCCATTTGAATCTTTTATGTCTTTAATTCTATTTTACTTACTAAGATTCCTCCATGAGACATAGAGAGGTTCTCCTGGTTCCTGATGAAGGTTGATATTATCCCATAACAGCTGAATATACACAAGTTTGCTATCCTGGGACAGAGATGATAGAGGAAGCTAAAAGAGATCAATAGAAAGTATTAGTGCCCCAAGCATGATAATTACTAGTGGACCTGGCAAAGCTTGATTATATAAAACAGATGAGTTCTTTCAAAACTCTGGACCTAAAATTCTGAGTAAAAATTTTATTTTTTGTATATATTTGATGATAAATGTTCTTATTATTTTCTGAGGTGCAGTTCTCATTCTGACTTTCAAGGATTGGGATGACAACTCGGTAACTGGCACAGTGGCCACATGAAAGATTAACTGCCATTACAACAAATTTTAAGGTAAGAGAAACTGCAATAGTTTCCACTATCTTGTTGTACTAATTACTACTTAAAATAAATGAGTCAAAATAAAGTTTGTAATACTTTAAGAAAGGATCGTGTTGTGCCCCTGGTGTATATTAGCGGTGTGGAGTGTCTCTCAATATTCAGTATCACAAATGAGGGAGCTCTAGGAGCTCACTGTCTCCACTGCAATCAGGGATCCCAGCACAAGTAAAGTAGGGACATTAGTGTCACACAGCCAGACTGTGATCTTGGCTCCCCGTCACTTATTAGGTATGTGACCTTGCAGAAATTCCTTAACTTCTCTAACTTTTAATTCTATCATCTGAAAAATAGGGATAATATGAGTCCTTTAAAATAAGGTTGCTGTGAGAATTTCAGCTGGCAATATGATAGTTCAGAATAAAAGCTACCTTTTCTAGCCACCCTTGCAACTAGAAATGGCCATATAACTAAATTCAGGCCAAAGAGACACATATGGAAATCTTATGTGCAATTCCAGGAACTGTCTCTAAATAAGACATTATTTTTCTCTTTACTGCTGGCTGGAACATGGATGTGATAGCCTGAAAGTAGAATCAGCCATCCCGGACAAGGTATAGAACTTAGAAATGGAGGTCATGCACAGCTGAGCAAAAAGATAGAAGGATTCAGGTGCCTAACACTGTACCATCCCTGGACCACCTATCCAAACTTTTAAGTGAGAGAGAAATTACCTATGTCTTATTAAGTCTCTATTGTTATATACTTTCTGTTACTTGAAGTTAAGCCTCATCCTAGCCAACACCAATGTAGTATAAGTATAGAAGTTGGTACCCTACCTGTACACCTCCATTACAGTGTTCAGATGTGAGGATAAGTCCTGGCAAGTTACTAGGAAGGTCCAAACGTCTGAAATACCAAACGAGGTTCCAGAAAATGATTGGATGTTGATTGATGAAAGAGGATGTGTGAATCACCTGATCGCCTTCATTTTCTAGCAAAGATTCAAGTTCTTTACGAAGCACTAGAGGACTCAAGTAGGGCACAGAAACAGGGGGAGGATTGGGTCTTTTTCCTAAAGGATCCTTAAAAAAAAAAAATACAAAAGAAGTGAATATTATGTATTTAATTCTAAGATTACTTCTCAATGAGATTAGGCTTCTCTAGCCTTTCAAAATCAGTTATTTCAGGGCCATTGCTACATGCAGTAGAATACCCTAATGAAAACCTAAAAAAGAAAAAATACTAATCATAAATACCCTGAAGTTAAATGATTACAAGAGAAAATTAATAATCTATACGATAGGCCCTATTTCAAACATGATAGAGTTTCTCTATCATGTTGATAAAAGCAATGGCCGATAAAAGCAATGGCCTATGTATGATTGGTTTTTCCTTTTCACTTTTTTTTATAAGAAATATTGCATTTCAGATGTTTTATAATGATGATACCAAAAAAATGTGTAACTTTATCTTCCTCTTACAACTCTAAACAGATGGGGCAATTTTCTGTGTTAATATTCTTTGATGACTCCTTTTAAAATTATATCTAACTCGTTTTTATATTAGATTGCCACAAAAACTAAAGTAGTTAAAGAGCAGTTTTATAAATCAAATGAAATAACGAATGAAAAAAAAATCCAACCTAGACTTTATAAGTTGTGCATATTATAATCAGAATGTTTATGACCAACTCAACTCAGACTGAAGTCTCCAAATACCATTTCCCTCTAAAAGGAATCAGAGTTTCTTAGAGAAATGGCTGATTCTAGGTCTGGACAAGGAAATGATCATGAAACATCTTGTCATATAAGAAAACAGGAAGTTTTTAAAAAAATTACAAGGAGGCTACTAGAGTTGTGTGGAAGGACTAAGGTGCCAACTTCTAGCTGACCAAAGATGGGATAATATAAGCGTCAATAAGGTATCAACAGCAATGGATGGAAACATAAATGTTTATATCAATGAAGTCATAATGATACCCTGAATGCTAGGAACCCAACTTGTTATTTTGAAAATTGGTAAATAAAAGGAAAAAAATAAAAATCAAACATTTATCCTGCCTTTCCAACACAAATTGCATCTTTGGAAAACCAAACAGAAGACATGGGGGAAGTTTCTCTTTATCGACGTATTCCATATAATAAAGAAGATTACAGAATTAGACTATCATCATTTTATAGCTCCAAATGAATAACTTGGGGGCTGGCCCAGTGGCGTAGTAAAGTTCACATGCTCCGCTTCAGCGGCCCGGAGTTCACAGGTTCAGACCCTGGGCTCAGACCCACGCACTGCTTATCAAGCCATGCTGTGGCAGGTGTCCCACATAGAAAAAAAGTAGAGGAACATGGGCACAGATGTTAGCCCAGGGCCACAGATGTTAGCCCAGGGCCAATCTTCCTCAGCAAAAAGAGGAGGACTGGCAACAGATGCTGGCTCAGGGCTAATCTTCCTCACCAAAAAAAAACCAAAAAACCAAAAAACAAATGAATAACTTGATCTAGGCATTAAGGCATTAAAGCTACTAACATCACAAAGATAGTTTATGTCTCCTACTGGAGGAATATACCACCACTGATGAAGTTGTCTTACAAAAATAAGCAAACGAACAACAAAACAAAACAAAAAACCTGAATCTGATAAAGTTTCTTGCTACAATTACCAATTTATAAGGTTGTAATCATCAAATAAATTGCAAGGGAAAAAAAGAGAGTCTACAGTTTAAAAAATACTAAAAAACAGATCAACCAATTGCAATGCATGGACCTTATTTGATCCTGATTCCTCAAACTACAAAACACACATACCTGACATTTCTGAGACAATTAGAAATGTGAACAAAGACTGAATAATTTGATATGAGTTTATTATTTTTTTGGTCTGATAATGGCACTGTAGTTTTAAAAGAGTCCTTTTCTTTCAGAGATACATACTGAAATATTTACAAATGGAATATATGATGTTTGAAATTTGCTTCAAAACAACCTAGGAAAGAAGTGAATGAGGGAGGTACATGAAAGAATGGCCGTTAACTGAAAATGACTGAAGCCAGATGACGGGTCAAAGGGACATATACTCTTCCATTTATTTTTGTACGTATTTAAAATTTTTAAAAGTTCTTAATCCGTTTATGAAAAATTCTTATCTATGACTTTTCTTGTGATTAAAATAAATCTACTATAGAAGAATTATGTGCTATTCTAATAAATACATGAATACACAGTATAATTATAACGTTACATACCACAACTTCCTGCAGACTGTTTGGAAGACTAACTGTTGAAATGCCATGAAACGGTCGCTGGGAAAAGTCAATATTTTGCAAGGGACCTCCAACACTGTGACTTCGAGTCAAAGATACATTTCGCTTTGAGAAACTATTAGGCACAGGTGAAATTTTCATAGTTTGGACATCTCCACTGGCTTTCCTTATTTCATCACTTAAAAAAATGAAAAAGAAATGCTGTGTTTGGGCTGTGAAACAATCTAAATCTGTAGAGCTAGAGTATTTTCTACAATGAATTTTGAGTCTACTGAATGTATCTGAGAAGACTCAGTACCGCCTTGTAAGAATTAAATTTTCTTCAGGCATTTCTGTAAAACTGGTCAGAAGAACAAGATAGAGTGAATGACTCTGGTGAAGGGTGGGAAGAGGACATGTGGTAGATAACAGGTATTGTTTTAAAAAGATTAAGTGCCCATTCAGTTGCTTTATTCAAAAATTATTTCATCTTTATTAAACAAAATCACCTAGAAATATACTGCATGCAAATAAATAATGTAGATTCATTGACAAGTATTTAATCTCTACCTAATGATCCACCTAAGGATAGAGACCAGATCTTATTTACTTTTTTATTTTTAGTGTTTAGCATAATGCTTAGCATACAACAGGCTCTCAATAAATGTTTGATTCAATCAATATTCATAGTGAAGAGAACATGTCTCTGGAAATTGTCAATGACTACACTGAAGGGGAAAATACTTTTATCCTTGTTGAGAAGTTCATTTTGTAAAATACCACTGCAAACATTAAATGTACTTCCAAAAATGTTTATCATCTGATCCATTCGTTAGATATTTAAACAATATATGGCAGTAAAAGTTAAGGTTAAATTGTTGAAATGCCAGAACTTATGCCTACATGAGTCAGGTTGTCTGTAAAGATGAAATTTTAACAAGGGTACACAATTTATTATGACATAAGAGTTCTCTGTAGCCTATGGTACCTTGATTCAACTGCAGAGTTTGTTTCTTCAGTTATGGCCTGGTTATGTTTTGGGAAATCCATAAAGTTGATCAAATCAGGCTCTAGTGAACTGGATACAGGTTTGTGCTCCAGAGGTTCACTCGCCAATGGAATGCTGCCACTTTGTAAACTGTCACCAGAGGTACTTGGTTTCAGGAAAAAGCTAAATACGGAGCAGTCCAAGAAAAAACAAGTCTTTAAAAATCCTGGGGTGCACTAAATTTCATCCTATTTAGAATTACTTTATGGTAAAGCAGTCATTAATGAATTATACAATCCATAGAAGTATTGCCTATTTCAAACATACACACACACTCTTGCTCTTATTTTCTCTTCCCCTCCTGTCCTAAACTTTTCATTGAAAAGGTCTGGGGGCCAGTCCGGTAGTGTAGTGGTTAAATTCGTGCGCCCTGCTTCGGTGGCCCAGGGTTCGCCGGTTCAGATCCTGGGCACGGACCTACTCACTGCTCATCAAGCCATGCTGAGGCAGCATCCTACATAGAGCAACTAGAAGGATGTACAACTATGACATACAACTGTCTACTGGGACTTTGGGGAGGAAAAAAAAAGGAGGAAGATTGGCAACAGATGTTAGCTCAGGGCCAATCTTCTTCAAAAAACAAACAAAAAAGACAGCATTACAAAAAAAGTGCAAACCCAGTGCTCTTAATCGAATGAAAAGGTCTTAGAGGAGATCATTATAGTTCAATATAAGATCCCTTCAGTTTTTGAGAACCATTAAAGGAAGCTATGAAGGAAGATGGAAAGCAAAATATTTCATTAATTTTCTGAGTTAAAAAAAAAAGAGAGCAGCAACAGCAGCATTTTAACATGTTATTAACCTACAATTGTTTATAATACCCTTTTTCTCCCCTTATAAATCTCCATTTTGTCTCTAATCATTTCCTGTCTCCTCGATTCATTATTTTATTTCATCTTATCTCTCTCCTTCTCCTGGATGGGGATGGGATGAAAGTTGGGCCTTGCTAGGGACATTAAGAGAACTTTCTGAGGTAACAGTAATGTTCTGTATATTGATAAGGATTTGATTTGTACAAATGTACACATTCACTCTTCAGATGGTACATTTAAGATTTGTATATTTTATGGTATATAACTGTACCTCAAAAGAAAAAAACTGTGAATAAATACTGAAATTTAGTTAATGATATGCATGCTGAAGTCTTTGAGGGAGAAGTGTATTAATGTTTATATCTTATTTTAAATGAATAAAAATATAATATGGAGGGGCCGGCCTGGTGGCGCAGTGGTTAAGTTCAGCGTACTCTGCTTCGGCAGCCCAGGGTTCATGGGTTCAGATCCTGGGTGCAGACCTACACCACTCATCAAACCATGCTGTGGTGGCATCCCACACACAAAATAGAGGAAGATGGGCACAGATGTTAGCCCAGGGCCACTTTTCCTCAAGCAAAAAAGAGGACTGGCAGCAGGTGTTAGCTTAGGGCCAATCTTCCTCACCAAAAAAAAAAAAGATGGATTGGAAGATAGATGGAGGGACAGATAGGTGATAAAGCAAGTACAGTAAAATGCTAACTGTAGAATGTAGGGGTAGATATTTGGGTGTCACTATAAAAAAATCTTTAAACTTAGCAGTAAGTTTGAAATTTTCCATAATGACATATTGGGGAGGAAAATCAATGCTCTTTTATACCCAATTAGAAAATATGAAATAATGTACCACAATAGCTTAATAAACACAATTAACTCAACAAAAAAGTACAAGACTTATATAGAATAATTTAAAACTCTATTAAAGGATATAAAAGATCTTAAAAAAATTGAGATATATACCATGCTCATAGATAAGAGAATAATACTGAAAATGTCCATTTTCCCCAATGATTCTATAAATCTAATGTAATCCCAATGAAAACTCCAGTTGGATTTTTTTTTCTTTTAAGGAACTCAAAGTTACTCTAAAATATGAAAAAAAAAAGTAACTATAAGCAAAATAAATAAATAAAATTCCACGAGGGGGAACTTACCCTACCAACCAGACAGAACACAAAGAGTAATAGAAAAATATGGTACTGAGAAAAAGAGCAGGTACACAGAACCAGAGTGAGGTACAAGTGGGAACCTGATATATGATAAAGGTGATACTACATATCAATGAGGAAAGGATGGAAAACTGGCTCATTATATGGAGAAAAATAAAGCTGGATCCCTACCATCATTTACAAAGGTGGACTCCAGATGGATTAAAGACCTAAATATCAGAGGCAAAATATAAAGTTAACAGAACACTGAGGAGAAAATTTTCATGTCCTATATATGGGAAACAACTTTTAAAACAAGACTCCAAAAGCACAAATCATAAGGTGGAAAATTAATGGATAATGACATCAAAATTAACAATTTGTCTTCAAGGAATTAATATCAAGAATATTCAAGACAGAGATTAACAGGAAAAAGAAAGCTTAATATAAAAATAGGCAAGGGATATAAACAAGCAATTCATAGAAAATGCTGGAATAACTAACAGGTATATGAAGAGATACTCAAACACTAGTATTCAAAGAAATGCAAACAAAAGCAAGATACCACATCATACTCATTAGAATGCAAAAATCAGAAAAGTGATAATACCACATACTGGTAAGGATGTACAGAAATGAGAATTCTTGGACACTACTACTGGGAGTGTAGCCATCTGGGAAGAATTTTCCAGTGTTGATTGAAATCATGTATAAAAAAGACCCAATGATGTCATTCCTAAGACTATAATTCTAAGAGAAATTACTTCACAAGCCTAGAAGGAGACAGATACTTTGCAGTGCTCTGCATCACTGCAGGGATACTTATAGTGACAGAACACTGGAAACAAGTGAAGTATCCAACACTAGGAATATGAAGAAGTAAGATGAGGTATTAACTTCCTATAGGAGAAAAGGAATAAACTAAATGTGCATATAGCACCTCAGATTTTAAACTGAAAAATAAAAAGAAATAGAGACTTTTAGCATTATTCTAATTATCTACGTTAAAAATACATAATCATGCAAAACAACACATTTTATAAGGATATATATTCAAGGATATATCACACACAGGAGAGTCAACGTCCTTCTTGGATAAAGGAATGAGAGTGGGAATGGGTGAGCGGAGGAAGATAATAAAAGAGGGCCCTCACACAAACCAATGATGACAGTGTGTCAGCAGTTATGAGTATGATTTCACTCAGCTCCTCGCCTGAAGCTAAAAGGAAAAAGAGAGAGGAAACACCTCTATGACTGGAGATTTTTAAAAAGCAGCTAATGGTAGACAATAATATGAAGTTTGTTTGCTCCATAAAACTAACAGAATATTAAGTATAATGGCTTAGGTCAGCATATAGTTACCAAACTCTCAATTACTTAATGATTGACTATAGATCAGCTAATCTCCTTTCTATTGCCTAGAATTCGGTCATTTCACTGTACAGAGCGCTCCATAAACGGCAACAAGTTAAGAGAAGAGTTGAAGCCTCCCTCACTTTTTTTTTGCTTCTAGAAGACATAACTAAGGTCACTGAGGCAGCAAGGTTAAGATAATGACTAACATCAGAGTTTTAAATTGTCTATAAAGTTTAGCTCGAAGGATTAACTACTATTGATAATCATATGTTAAATAAAATGGAAAGTGGTCTCCTACATTACTAGTATTTTCGACTCAAATACTGAAAGTGAAGGAGAAAAAGGAAAGGGACACCTGGAGAAAACCATGAAGGGGACTTCACTCTTCCCCCAGGAATCATGCCTTTTGGGGGGCACTTACCTCTTAAGGGAGCATTTATAATACTAACCTTGCAGAGCCTCTCAAGTCCTTAAATTCTATATTGAGAAGAGGCAAGAAGTTGCTTTTACAGAATGGACATGTTGTATTCAAATTTGAGTCATCTGCTGTCCATCCAGCCATAATTTCTTCATCATAAACTAGAGCTCCACAAGCTCTGCACTGGGAACAACTTGACATCAGAACCTAAGAGGACAAAGTGCAGACCTCCACGTGAATATTCATCTTAGGCCACTCCCTTGAGACAAACAGAGAATTTTATTTATTTTGTTGATCAAATTTGGAATTAACAGTTCAATTACTTTATAGGTAAAACTACCAGTTTATTGCCTTGCTTACACATAAGACATCAAGCAAATTCAACAAAATGACTTGTTTTATTATTCTGTCCACAAGAGTATCATAGCATTCTGTTAAATACTATTCTGAAATAAAAAGGTCTTTTGTTGTTAGTGCCCTCAAGTTGAAGATTCCTAGTGACTCTGTGTACAGCAGAGCAGCTCCTTGCCCAGTCTTTTTGTGCCATCCTTTCACCTTCTGGCGCTATGTCAGACAATGCTCCGCTGCTATTCATAAGGTTTTCATGGCCAATTTTTCCGCAAGTGGGTGGCCAGGTCCTTCTTCCTAGTCTATCTAGTCTGGAAGCTCCATGAAACCTGTCCACCCTGGGTGACCCTGCTGGTATTTGAAGCATCACAGCAACAAGCAGGCGCCACAGTATGACAACCAACAGACGGGTGGTGTGGTTCCCTGACTGGGAAATGAAGCCAGGCTGCAGTGGTGAAAGTGCTGAATCTTAACCAGTAGACCACCAGGGCTGGCTAAAAAAATATGTTTACAGCCACTTTATCACTGGCAGAATAAAGAACTTTTACCTCCATTGCACAATTCTGATAGATGCTAGACATGCTGGTGTTTTGCGAAGAACCATGGTCTGATTTTTCCAAGTCCTGCCCTTTTATGCCTCTTGGAAATGGAAGTTCACCTAGAGAGAAGTAAACATCATAACACATTATGGATGAGAATATCCTTATTCTTTGGAAATGCATACTAAAGTATTTAGGGGGAACTATCATGAAGTCTTTATTTTCAAATGGTTCAGTATAAAAATGTATGTATGTATATATATAGATAGATAAAGTTAGCAATAGTTAACTAAATCTAGGTGGAGAATATGAGTGTTCACTAATTGATTCTTTCAACCTTTCAGGACATTTGAAATTTTTCATAACAGAAAGTTGGAGAAAATGAATAAAATTACAATTTTTACAAACAATAGAGAGCTAAGAAATTTCAGTGATACAGCCCAGGCACTCTCAAACTGGTATACATATTATAGAGAGCTGGTTAAAAATACACATTCGTTAGGGCCCCATCCTACAATTTCAATCTCAAAAGTTTTAGCCTAGGGCTTGGACATTTGTATTTTTTTTTTTTTTGCCTGAGGAGGATTTGCCCTGAGCTAACATCTGTGCCAATCTTCCTCTATTTTGTATGTGGGTCGCCGCCAGAGCATGGCTGCCAACAAGTGTTGTAGGTCCATGCCCGGGAACTGAACCTGGGTCACCAAAGCGGAGTGTGCCAAACTTAACCACTAGGCCACCAGGCCGGCCCCCATTTGTATATATTTTTAAGCAAATTGCCAGGTGATTCTGATACATACTAAAGTTTGAGAACTAATGATATAATCCACAAATATACACAACTAAAAATAAACATAACTAAAAATAAAGTCATTTACAATAACAGTGATAGTGTGGTGTGGCCATATTAAAAATTTATCAGATCATCTCAACAAATGGGGTTTATTGTATGTGTAGTGGGGAGAGGGAAAAGTATGGGCACATAAATGAGAAGAGAGGACAATCCTTCCCATACCTGTTGAGTAATGCAGTTTTCCTACGTCTCCACTGCTACTGCTACTGCCGAGGCTTGTGTTGCTCTGGGTAAGTTCACTGGCGACCAACCCTGGGATACTCATGTTAGGTGATATATTCTCTCCCAAAATATGGTCTTCAAGGCCAGCTGGGAAGCTGTAATCTCTACTAGTTTCCTCCTTTAATTGAAAAGAATAAAACCCCACATATATAAATAATACCTTCTTCAATGAGAATATATTCACTCTACTCTTTTCAAAATTAAACTCCTCTATAATCCTTAAATAAATCATCATCCCCACATTATTCAAAAACATGAACGCTTCTCACTATTATTTGGAATTTCCCTTCCATACTCTAAGACATTCAAGCAATGACCTATAATACTTTAAGATTTTGTTGTGCCCCTGGTGTATATTAGGGGTGTGGAGTGTCTGTCAATATTCAGTATCACAAATGAGGGAGCTCTAGGAGCTCACTGTCTCCACTGCAATCAGGGATCCCAGCATAAGTAAAGTAGGGACATTAGTGTCACACAGCCAGACTGTGATCTTGGCTTCCCATCACTTTTTAGGTATGTGACCTTGCAGAAATCCCTTAACTTCTCTAACTTTTAATTCTATCATCTGAAAAATAGGGATACTATGAGTCCTTTAAAATAAGGTTGCTGTGAGAGTTTCAGCTGGCAATATGATAGTTGAGAATAACAACCGTTAGAGATATAAAAGAGGAATAAAGTTCCAAACACTGTAGTTGTTAACCACTGTGATTGTTGACGCTTTAGTTTAGATAGAAAACACTTCAATAAGCAGTTTCCTCTTTGATTTTTGCTTTAAAGAAAACAGACTTGTGTCTTCCTTGTTGTAAAACCATGTTAAATGATAAAAAAAATTAAATATAGATATGCAAAATAGGAAATAAAAGCACTTATAATACCAACACCCACAGAGTACAATCAAAATCTTGACGTATATCCTTCTAGCCCTTTTTAAATAAGCATACATAATATATTCTTACCAAACAGGATATTGTTTATTAACCTATTCTTCTCATGTAATTAATTTTGTCATTAAATTGTCTACATTATTTAAACCCCTACAACCTAATCCGATTTACTGATGTACTATTTATGTATTTAGTAAATCCTCTATTGCTTAAACATTCAGAATGCTTTAAGTTTTGTGTAAGTTATACTGATGAATTCCCTTGAGCTGTTTTTACACATATCCCTAATTATTTCCTTAAATTCTGGATAACAGTTATGAACATTTTATAGACTTTTTATCCATTCTTTCATTTGAAAATGTTTATGAGGTATATCCTATTTGCTTCTGCCAGGGACTGGGGCTATAGTGATGAAAAGAAAAACTATGACCTGCGACCACTTGGAATTTACAGTCATATATTCCAAGTCCAAATTACTCTGTTGAAAGCTTTTTTTTTTTTAACACTGTTAGATAAAATTTCAAAAAATAAAATGGCTCACTCTTGTTCTTTTTTTTAACATAATGCCAGGGTAAGACACTTGGAGCTAGCTTATTTCGTCTTTTCCTAACCAACCTTGTAAGCTCTTTAAATACAAAATGTGATTTGTCTTATAATACTCAATATTATACTTTTAATTCAGTTAATAGCTTGCCTATAGAATAAAGTTTTCCTTCAAATGGTATACAAGTCTTATTTGTCCAATTTCATTTCCTGTGTCTCTACTTCCTATTTAGAACTTTAGCTATCTGAAATTGATTATATTATCCTGAAAATGCATGATGTTTTAAGCCTCCATGCTTTTTCACATTATTCTTTCAGACATACCTTCTGCCACCCTATCACTTTGACTAACCCACAATTTCACATTTATCCATCAAAACTCAACTTAGATATCACCTGCTTTGCTCTTTTTGGACAGCCCCCCACTGGAACCTCTTCTAAGATATTGCTCCCTTCTTTGCTACTATAATGGTTAATAGCATGGACTCTAGAGCCCATCTCCCAGACTTCAAATTCTAGTTCTGCTGCTCACTAATTGTGTGACCTGGGGAAGTTAATCTCTCTGAATCTCAGATACCACATCTATAAAATGGGGATAACAACAGTACCAACCCATGGAGTTGCTATGAAAATTAAACAAATATATATATGTACATATATATTCCAATATCAAAATAGATATAGAGCTTATGACAGTACCTAGAACATAGTGTCACAATAATAATAGTGAACATTTAGAGATGTCTGTCTTTTCTACTAGATTAAAGTACCTAAGTCCTATATAATTCTTTGAACACAATGGTGAAATTGCAATTAATTTTTTTTGATAAAACAAGCAAAATTTCTCCACTTGTTTTTTCATTAAAAGATCTAATGATTAATTCTCTTTACAATGATTTTTAAAAAGAATTAGCAGGTTTTTTTATGCAGTATGAAATCTATGGATTAAGTTATAGAGTGACTTCATATATTTTACAGAGATAATGCAGGTAAAAGTTATTTAAAAAGTGAAGTGCTATGCAACTATAACATGGCATTATTATTAAATTCAAACACTAATCATTAATGCTTTCAAAGAAGCCAACTTAACGTGTTAGTTTAGACTGATCTAGGGAATTATAAAGTAGTCCTGATTTTCTACCTCTTCATTATTAATTTCCATACATGTATGTTCAAGTCATTTCAAGAAAGAAATAGGATATGCATAAAGTTTTAAAATTTAAAGACCCAAAGTTACCAGAAATCTCTAAATAATAATTTATATATAAAAAAATACTACAAACATTCCAATATCAGACAGACTTACACACATAAAACATTCTTACCTCATCATCTGAGTAGTTGTAAGCAGACGCCACAGCCACCCACATCTTACTGGCTACTGTCGCTGCTTGTTTCATACCAGATTTTAGGACATCAATCTTGGGCCCTGAGAGTATATTATCCAGCTTTAGCCCTGACAAAGAACTGACCACAGAACCCAACGAGCCATGCGGTGAAGAACGCACTAGTGCTGATAAAGAAGATGAACGTTCCTTATGACCTCGAGAAGGAGTCTGCTGCTTGAAACGCCCAGTAAAAGTTTTAGACCTAGACACTGTAGGGGAGCGCTTTTCACTTTCAGGGGTTTCCTGTGCTGGTGGACCATGATCTAAAGGTAGGCTTGATCTCCTCTCTAAAGGGTGACTAAAGGCAATAGGAGTGCCAGACTCTCTGTTTCCCTCTCCGTGTAATTCCATACTAGAAGACTTGCTACCCAGGGGACTCTTCAGGTTCATATAGCTCTCGATTTCATCAGCCAGGTTACGTGCAATAACTGGAGAAAACAACTTATCTTCAGAATCAGGAGTTTTTTCTCCTATACATTCAGTGGCTAAAAGAGACAAAGGATCTAGTCCAGTTTCAACGTCTTCCCTCTCAACAGCTTTAGCAACACCAGATAAACTACTCCTCTTATTGGTTAGATCTTTGGATCCTGCTTTCAAGTCTCTGGATTGATTACTGTTACTATCATTTTGTAGACTGTCACATGTACCCTTTGTCATAGTAGTTTCAGCTACATTGTCATCAACCACAGGTTCTAGGAGCTCTTGGCTTTCCTCAAGCATCTCTAACACCGAAGAAGATCTGTGCTCAGAATCCCAAGTGCTTTCAGACACACGAGTCCTAGTATCAGCAAGATGACAGCTAACACTGTCAAAACTATGAGTTCTTGCAATATGAAGTAGAGAAGTCTTAGGACATGTCAATGCTGCTGTGAGAATCTTGGCATCTGCTCCCATCATGATAGCCACTTCACTTGAATTCAAATCCAAACTGCTCTTCTTAAGTAACATTCCTGCTCGACTTTCAGAACTGAAACTACAGCTCCGCTCTGGAAAATGCTTTTGTCTTTTTTCTCCTCTATCACCATTCTTGAGATTAGTAACTTCACCAAAAACTGCATCTTCAACTGGATCTTCAGGAGAAAATAGCACATTCGATGTACTACCTAAAACAGAAAGTACAATATTAAAAATGAATCTATTTTCTGATGTAACTTTTATACACACATACATTTAAAAAAATCATGCAATATATGCTCTATATACCTGTATTGTTCACTAAAATATATCACATTTATCAATAAAAATAGATCTATAAACATGTCTTACATTTTAAGAGTCTTACATGCAATTTAAGAAATATACTCTGCGATAAATAGCAGATCTAAAAAGAAATAATCTCTTCTATCTTAGCTTTCATATATAATTCAACAAATATTTGCCAGGAATTGACTCTGCACAAATTCATGATCATGAAGGAATTATATATTGGCTATAGCCAAAGCCTTACTGCTCCAAAGCAAAATAACTGCCCCGAAGTAAAAGAATCTAGAAACGAGTGCTCAGAATTGGCAAATTACAAGAAGGCTGATAAAATCTGAGTAGTTAAAAGTTTTTCAGATACATTCATTCCTTCAACAAATACCTGAATGCCTACTAGTATCTTCTATGTGAGGTGCTAGAAATACAATGGCGAATAAAACAAACATATCTCAGCCCACACAGAGGTCAGTCTTGTTTGAGCAAGTGGAACAAAATTATGCCTGTGGCCGTAGGAACCTCCCCCAGCTCTGGGGGAAGCAAGCAGTCTTTTATTCTTTGCTACCATGCAGTTTTTCCCACTCCAAGACGAAAAGCTATTTCCTATTTGAATCACTATCAGAACTTAACTCTACCCATTCACATTTAGGATTCTCATTTGTTTTTTGAAAAGCATAATGACCTGGGGGATTTGGGGGGAAAGTCTTTGATAAGGTCTTTTTTTAATCGTCCAAATTGATTTCAAGGCTCTTTTTCATCTTCCAAACTGGTACCAACTAATAATCGTAATCATACCAATTAAACAGAACTAATAATAAGCAATTAGAGATATTTTAAAGCTTTTAAGAGAGTTATGTTAGTCTATTTTACATCTCCAAAATTTGTACCTTCTTTGAAAACTTTTACCAATACTTGAGAAACAGATCTTTGCAAATTTACTGGTTCTCATGTATTTCCAGGAATTTAGTGGCACAATCTGTTCGATTTTAAAATAAATTTGACTGTTTGATATATTAGCAAAGCCCCATTACCACCTCCTTTCTTAATAGAATAAATCTTAGATCAAGATATAATGTGGAAATAAGATGAGTAAAAAGGGAAGGAAACACAGCAGTCCCCAGACTCTGTCCAATATTCTGAGAAGATTCTAAACCTTTGATGAAGAAAATTCTGCCCTTTTTTTTTCCCTGCCATCATAGGTTGGGAAAATGAGATACAGAACATATATATCAATTATTTTTTCAAAACACATAGGGGCCAGCCCGGTGGCATAGTGGTTAAGTTCGCACACTCCACTTCGGCGGCCTGGGGTTCACAGGTTAGGGTCCCAGGCATGGACCTATGCACCGCTTATCAAGCCATGGTATGGCAGGCATCTCACATGTAAAACAAGAGGAAGATGGGCACAGATGTTAACCCAGGGCCAATCTTCCTCAGCAAAAAGAGGAAAATTAGCAACAGATGTTGGCTCAGGGCTAATCTTCCGCACACACACACACACACAAACAAAAGCTGTCTAGTTAAGGGCCGGCCTGCTGGCGTAGTGGTTAAGTGTGTGTGCTCCGCTGCGGCAGCCCAGGGTTCGCAGGTTTAGATCCCAGGCGCGCATCAACGCACCGCTTGTCAAGCCATGCTGTGGTGGCGTCCCATATAAAGTAGAGGAAGATAGGCACCGATGTTACCCCAGGGCCAGTCTTCCTCAGCAAAAAGAGGAGGATTGGCATCAGATGTTAGCTCAGGGCTGATCTTCCTCACACACACAAAAAAAACACATCTAGCTCCACCTCTTGAGCACTACCCAATCCCTAAAAATAAACTGAACTTAGTATCATAGTAAATAAAAAAAACAAAACGTTAGGAATAAGGAGTATTTCTACACTGATTTAAGAAGCTGAGCAAATTAATTTCTATAAAGTCATACAATAGATACACTTATAGACAAGACAGTAGACTTTAGACAAGTGAACTGTAGCTACTACTACCGAAGGGCAAAGGACACAGGCCAATTTCATTGTCCTCTAAAATCATATACTTACGTTATATGTCTTAAGGGTACTTGGGAGGCCTACAACATAACTGAAAGTACTAATCTCAAATTCAAGGGAGTCATATACAACAGAATTATTCATTACAAATACTTAATCACATATAAGAAGTGGCTCAGAGTCCCTATAGTAACTGGGCCAAAATTAAAGACCCAATGGTATTTTTGTAGAGAGTAAGTGATGTGACTCTTTCTTCCATTTCCCGTCCGTGTTAGGAACCACCTTGCCACACATAAGCCCTCTGAAATTCAATCACATCACTGCCTCTCTGTTCCTGAAGAGTATAGGAGGCCCTACAGTCCTCTCTCATTGTCTACCATGAGAAAGAGGAACCACACTGAGAACAGGCACTACAACAAGAAAAGATATTCCAAGTAACAATTAAACACACTAAATACTCCTCTTTTCAAAAATTAAATATCTTTAACAACTATTTTATACCTTCTTCTTTAGCCCATTTATAGGATTCAAACTTACTTCTGGCTCTTTAACATGTTCACTATAATTAAGTTAATTTAATGTCATTAAAGGCACATGTATAGCCGTAGAAGTATATTTTAAATATTTAATACCCAGTATGTAAAGACTCACCAGTGCTACTCTTCCTGCCGCTGATGTCAAATACACCAGAAGGAACTTTCACAATACTGCTGCCCCATGCGGGAGGCTCAGTAGGACTCTGGGGCTCTGCGCTAGGCTGTGAATGTTTTGCCACAACAGCAGAGATATCACACATATCTGGGAAAAAATATTTGGATGTTATCATTCCTACTTTTGCCAAAATCGAACAGAAACCATATATTGATTTTTATATATTTTATGTATTTTTTCCTCAAGCAAGGGTGAACACATGACTATTTTATTACAGATTTATTGTGTCTGATTTACTTTATGCCATAAATGTTGCCAGTATTGACTGGAATAATTGCTTTATTTTAGCATTCAATAATCTTAACTTGAGCGTTCTTAAGTGTGTAAATTAAGGCTTTGGCTTTCAGTTATACTCCTCCTCATCACGTGTCAAGGAGGAGAGGGGCTTGCTTCTGCACAGCCCTGGAGCACAAAATAAGTGGCATCATTAAAGGAATGTACTTTTGTGTAAGAGGACGGGAAGAACATCTTATTATCAGAAAGCCAAAATATTCTTCCATATTTCCATAAAGAGATTACTACAAATCACTTCTACCTCAATGAGCCCCATAAAAAAAAACAGGAAAATCACAGACTGTATTTAACCTACAATGAAACAGATTCCCTTAGATATCTGAAGGACTTCTAGTGGAAGAGCATGTTAAAATAGAAGGGGCGCTGGAATACAAGTCTGATGACTCAGTTGAGTCCTGGCTCTGTCACAAAGGAGTTATATGACTTTGGCAAATACCTCAATGGGTCACAGTTTCCTACAAAACTGAGGGCTGACCCACAGAGTCTCTAAAGGTCTCTTAAATTCTAAAATTCAGAGACTACCAAAATCTATCGTATATAATAGTACATAGTATCTTACAAGCCCAGACCTTGCATTTCTGGAAATTATCACCAAAATTATCAAATAACACTTTTAATTAAAATAGGTATTTTTCTAATTAAAGCTAGTAAATATCAGTACTTAACCTTCTTTTTGCACTTTTGTTTTAGTTTTCAATTCTCTTGCTACTTGCTCTTCAGGTACATGAATTTCCGAATCATCCTTTATAAGTTCATCCTTAGACCCATAGCCTTGGTCAGACTGACCACCTGTTAAAAAAATGCAAGCTTACATACAAACGTTTTCATATACTTATAGTCCAGCTACAAAATGTCAAAAGAAAATTCCACAGATCTACACAATTAAACTTAGAGAAAAGGAAGACAAGAAAGCTCACCAAGCACACCAAACATTTTATAAGAATGATAAGAAGCAAAGAACAGTGCAAGCAGGAACAGCCATTACATATTTGGAAGCAGTGAACCTTAATTTCCTTGCCTATAAATTAAAAGATTTGGACAAGATGTTTTGCAAGTTTTCTTTTGGAGTGTGTCTATAGAAGGCTACCTTCTGTGTAAGAAAGATGTAGAAATAAACATTTATCTGCTTACTTTTGCAAAAAAAAAATGCAGAAATAATAAGCCAGAAAACAATAAAACTGGTTACATACGAGGGATGGGGGGAAGTAGGACGGAAGGAATAAAGAGAGAGAATACTTCTCTAAATGTGGCTTATTGTATTGTTTTCATTTTTGGAAATGTATTGACTTCTACATATTCAAAAAAATTAAATCAACAAAACTGGGGTGGGGGGAGTAACTAAAATTGAACGCAAACAGAAAAAATGAAACCAACTGTACTTCATAGGAATAACATAACCACACTGAAAGGACCAGGGGAGGACTCATCCAAGTAACTTTTGAACACATTATTTTGAGTATATACCCTAAGCCTGGGGGGAACAGTCAAATCCTGGACTCCTTAGGAGGCTTGTTTCTCACAGGGGAATGGGTGTAGCAATTCTGAAATGATTTTATGTGTACTGTAGGACTGAGCAAATGAGTAAATGAGAATTCTTAGGAGCCAAGATTCTTAATGTGGAAAAACAGAGATTTTTAAAAAAAATAGAATGAGAGAAGGCAAAGAAAAACCCGTGGGGTTGATTTGGAATTGGAAGTATTTTTAAAATATATATACATATTTTCTAGCTCTGCTAAAAAAGTCTAGAAGTGGTAACACCCTGGTAGTGGTAAGCATACTTAAAAGCCCAGATCTTGGTTTCTAAAATCTATTGCCTATTAAAGGAACCTGGGATCCTGGCAGAAATGGCTGACTCCAGAACTCAGGCAGGGAAGGTATAAGAATGAGCTAAGAACATTTTGTTATGCAAGAAAGGAAGGGCTCAAAAACATGATGGGGGTGCAGCCCAGTGGTGTAGTGGTTAAGTTCACACACTCTGCTTTGGTAGCCAGGGGTTTGCAGGTTCAGATCCTGGGTGCGGACCTATGCACCGTTCATCAAGCCATGCTGCTGCAGCATCCCACATACAAAACAGAGGAAGACTGGCAACAGATGTTATCTCAGGGCCAATCTTCCTCACCAAAAAATAAATAAATAAATACATGTAAGTCAACAAGTTACATTATTTAAAAAAAAAAACAAACATGATGGGGGCATGTCTAAAGGACATAAGAACACCATCTTATAAACGTGGAGGGAGGATAGAGTTGGCTAAATCTCCACTTTATGACCATCATAGTAAAGATTGGTTCAGGTAAGAATCATCAATGGATGCTAAGTTTAAAAGCGAAAGTGTGGGGGCTGGCAGAGTGATTAGGTTCACACGCTCCGCTTTGGTGGCCCAGGGTACATGGGTTTGGATCTCCGGCATGGACCTACACACCGCTTATCAAGCCATGATCTGGCAGGCATCCCACATATAAAGTAGAGGAAGATAGGCACAGATGTTAGCCCAGGGCCAAAATTCCTCAGCAAAAAGAGGAGGATTGGCAACAGATGTTAGCTCAGGGCTAATCTTCTTCACCAAAAAAAAAAAAAAAAAGAGGGAGAAAGGAGAGGGAGAAAGGGTGATGAGGAAGAGGATATTATTTCATAGTCGCCAAGTGTCTCCTCACAGATAGCTTATTGTCTGCAAGGGGGATAATAGTAACTAAGAGAAACCAAACACTCAGAGCAGGTGATAAAAATTAACATCACCAATGAGGGGCAGACAGATATTGTGTGCCTCCAGGATGTGATAATCTGAGAAGGATACATCATCACTTTTGCAGCAGAGCCATAGACGCATAACCTAATCTAACCCCAAGGAAACATCAGACAAAGTCAAATTGAGGAGTATTCCACAAAATAACTGGACTCAATTCTTCAAAAAGGTCAAGGTCATGAAAGACAAAGGGTAAGGAACTGTGCCAGGTTAAAGGAGACTAAAGAGAGGCAGTTAAAGTACCACAAAGGAGATTCCAACAATTGAGAAAATTGGAACATAGACTAAAGACTACTACAGTCTACTTTAAAGACTAAGACTATTATAGATTAAAATAGTATATCAATGTTTCCCTGAATTTGGTAACTATACTGTGGTTATGTAAGAGAAAATACCACTGAAGTGTTAAGAGGTAAAAGGGCAAGATGTATGCAACCTGTTCTCACATGATTAAAAAAAAAAATTTGTGGGGACCGGCCTCATGGCTTAGTGGTTAAGTGCACACGCTCTGCTACTGGCGGCCCAGGTTCGGATCCCGGGCGGGCACCAATGCACTGCTTCTCCGGCCATGCTGAGGCCGCGCCCCACATACAGCAACTAGAAGGATGTGCAACTATGACATACAACTATCTACTGGGGGTTTGGGGAGAAAAAAGGAGGAGGATTGGCAATAGATGTTAGCTCAGAGCCGATCTTCCTCAGCAAAAAGAGGAGGATTAGCATGGATGTTAGCTCAGGGCTGATCTTCCTCGCAAAAAAAAAAGAAAAAAATGTGTGTATGTGTATAGAAAGAAAACGATAAAGCAAATGTGGCAAACTAAAAGTGAGTGAATCTAGATAAAAGTTATTCAAGATTCTCTGCACTATTCTTGCACTATTTCTATAAGTTAGAAATTATTTCAAAATAAAGTTTTGTTTTGTTTTGTTGGTTTTTTTTGGTGAGGAAGATTGGCCCTGAGCTAACATCTTGTGCCCATCTTCCTCTATTTTGTATGTGGGACGCTGCCACAGCATGGCTTGATGAGCGGTGCGTAGGTCTGCGCCCCGGATTTGAACTTGCGAACCCCGGGCAGCTGAAGTGGAGTGCGTAAACTTAACCACTATGCCACTGGGCCGGCCCCCAAAATAAAGTTTTTTAAAAGTCTATTTTGGCTTTAAAATTCTATCATTTAAAGCCAAAACTAAGACCAGTTACAAGAGAATCATTATAAACAATGTTAATGAAAAACACATAAAACAAAAAATATAGTGCCTTCCACTTTCTACCACCTGTTACACTGCCACTCAAACTTTGGGTTTGCCGTATAACAAAAGAACTAAACTCTTTAAATACTGCTATTTAGAATGACTAACTTCAGTCACTTTTTTATTGGCCCCTCAGAAAGTCTGGTAAAGCATTATGCTGCCATGAAACGAACACTAGACTGGGAACAGAGTAAACTGATTAAATCTAGATATGCCTCCCAACAAGCTAAGTGACTCAGTATTAATGACCAGCTGGAAAGATTCTACAAGATAATCCTTAAAGAAAAGAGTAACTTAAGCTTCTGGGCTGGAAGTCTCCGTAAGTAGCAAATGACATCGCTGGAAACTCTACAGAGACACACAGTCACTATACATTCAGTTTTGGAGCTTAGCTATTTGAAATGCAGCTAAAAAGAAATATATGGAAAAGGGATCTGAAGTTTCTTCCCTAAGTATTGGAATCTTTATGCCAATTACCCAGGATTACGAGATCGTTCTTTCCATTATAGGAGACAAGTTTAAAAATCTAGAGGGATAAGGAGAATGTTTATCTAGTATTTATTACTATTATTGCTGGTGAAATGGTTTCATACCACAAAATTATTTTCTTGGTTTTTCATAAATGAAATCCATTTCATCTACAGGTATTAGGAAAAAATACAAGAGGAAATACAATAAGATGGCTTTAAAATGAAAGTCTCGTAAAAATTCCTAGTTGTTGAAAGAAAGTTAATTTACAAACAGGATTGTAACTTATAGCCTTATGTTGACTTTCAATGATTTATACATGCTTCTGTATTTATGGGGGTAGTTTTTAGCACAAGTATTCAGCAGACCAGTTTTAGCAAGCAAAAACCACCTCAACAGCTAGAATAATGAAAACTTTAATGCCCAAAAAACTATTTAAAACAATGATGCTACAAACCAACCTCAAAATAAGAATTATAGCAAGGCATAGTATATTTTCAAATAAGATAACGAATATGCTTTGCAAATTGATCATAAAATGTTAGTTGGATATTTTCAGTAGTACATATATGATTACACTTATCTGAAGGAGAAAAAGCCAAGAAAACAAAAATTGTTTTCCTCTTGTAACAATACTTAAAATACAACAAAAGGTCTCTCCCCCACCCTTGCATGTCAGGAAAATTTAACCTAATAAATGGGAAATTACCTGAAGTGGTTAATATTCAAAGGCAGAATTAATGCACACGTGTATCCATAGCTTCACGTCATACAAGTCTGTCTGCACCCCACACCATGAGAGCCAAGGACAAATGCAGCACCAAGAAACAGCACAGAGCAAAAAGCAGAGCAACAAAGAGCAGAGAAAAGGAAACTTCAGTCATTGAGACACGTTCATCAGATGAAGCACAGGAATTAGACTCAGAATTCTTTTTAAAGAAAAGCTTGAGATATTAACAACACAACAACAAAAAAGAAAAACAACACAAGAAGGATGTGCAACACACATATATCTGCTCAATGTGCCACTTTAACTATGCTTATTTCTAACTTCAAAGATCAGAGGTTATGCCCGTAGCTTTGTATGTAAAAGTAGCTTCAGTAGTTTGTCAGATTTCAAAAATTGTCATTTAAAGTAATAACTATGAGGGGCCGGCCTGGTGGTGTAAGCAGTTAAGTGCGTGCACTCCGCTGCGGCGGCCTGGGGTTCGCCGGTTCGGATCCCGGGCGCACACCGACGCACTGCTTGTCAAGCCATGCTGTGGCAGTGTCCCGTACATAAAGTAGAGGAAGATGGGCACAGATGTTAGCTCAGGGCCAGTCTTCCTCAGAAAAAAGAGGAGGATTGGCATCAGATGTTAGCTCAGGGCTGATCTTCCTCACAAAAAAATAAATAAATAAAGTAATAACTATGCAAAGAGAATACTTTTTCTCATGGCATGTGACTTATTTTCTTCCCTCTTTAATATTCATCATCTCAAATCTTTAATAAAGATTTTGCACTTAATGCAAAAAGGTTTGCAAGTTGTGTCACAAATATTCAAGTTCCTCAGCTCACAATTCCTAACAATTATATCACATACTTTCACAAATTAATGATGAACAAATACAAAGAAGCACCATGCTAGATAGAGCCTTTTGCAGAGCACTTCAAAGTTAATTTTATACTATAAGAAATAAAGAGAAGTGATCTGCAATCAGAAGTGTAATTTCTTCCCTTATTTATATATAGTATTTTTTAAGTACTCATATTGCACAAACTTGAGAAAGGAGGGTAAAAGGTTTTTAAAAAAGGAAAGACTTAACATGAGAGTAAGTGAAGGGTTAGTAAAATCCAGATTTACTACCTGTACTAGAGTGATTATCAATGGAATCAAGCCTGATTAAATCTCTGACGAAGACTGTGTGCTCCCCATTGTTAGCATCATTAGAACTATCCACGCTACCGTGGCTCACCGTGTCCCCATCACTTCCACCTGTGGCACTCTGAGGAGCTAAAGATAAGGACAATAGCAGTTCAACAACACATGCACTGATAATCTCTGAAACTAAACATGAATAACCCACAGTTCATTTAAAGTTGCAGAACACCTTCTAAATTTGTGGGGGGAAAAATAAGTTTGGACTAAGGTAATCTCTGTCTTGAGTTGTATATGAAAATATCAACCAGAACTACATTTAAGTTTTCTAATTCATATAATTAAAAATTCACATGCCTATAAAGCTTATGGTTCAGCAAGAAAGTATCTTTCCAATCACATGTATTACCTGATATTGAGGAGACCTGTGACTTTTGCATGGTCTTTTTAAGCGGCTGCCTAAATTGTGCCAAGCCATGGACTACATTCCGTACCTTCGTCCATAAGAAGATACCACTGCGGGTACTGCTAGGCCATGGGCTCTCCAAAACTACCTAAAGGTAAAATAAAGGTAAAAACAATGATTATTAGGAATATTTGCTTTTTTAAAAAAATAAATATGTAGTACATAAAGAATTATACTCCAAAACCTCTAAAAGAAGTTTCATGAATAATAAAAGGGATAATAAATTATCAATCTTAATAAACCAGCATATATTGCCTAATGTCAATTCTACTTACCTTATTATAATAACCATAAGTAATAGCATTTGGCTTTATCTTAGCAGTTTTCATTTCAAATAAGACTCTCACTGCTAAAACAGGATGACCCCAAAGTCCACAAAGCTGCATTACTACTCGATAGCACACCTAACAAAAAACAATATCCAAACATCAGTAGTTAGTCCATCTTGACTTGTAGAGATTTTTAAATAACTTTATTCAATTCTTCTTCTCAAAGTTATTAAGCACTATCTTCTCTTTTGTTCTGATTTGAGAGTCTCAGTGTATTATTTTAAAAATCTATTCATTAATGGAAGTACCAGCATTATTAACTATTTCACATAAGACCTATGTGCACATTTGCCATTTGTTTCAGTAACTAAGTTTACACAAAATGAATGACTATTATTATCCATAATTTGAGAAGGAATTCATTTTTTAAATCAAGTATGATTAAAATAGCTCTCTCCCAAATCATGTTTTATATTCTATGCCAAAGGAATTAAAGACAGCATCTCCAGGATGCCTGTATAACAAAAAGGGTTCTGTAAACCAACGTCTTAGAAAAGTAGGAGAAGCAAGTTAAAATCACTGTAATATTATTAGCAAAGGCTTATTCTGAGAATATATGTTTACTGAGGAGGGCTAGATTTGATCAGAAGAGGACAAGTCAATTGGGAACTCCTAAAAGTTAGAATCTCACACATTAGAAGACGATGGTAGAAACCATGAAGAATGAAACAGGAATCTCAAGGATCCCTGGCAAAGTAGTGAGCCAATTGACAGGAACAGTGACAGGGCAGCCGCAGACGACTATAGCTTAATTTGAAAATAAGGAAATAGACATATAGAAGATACTCTTCTTGGGCCTTGTAAAAGGTGCTCTGTTTATGACAGCGTTGGTTAACAATTGTGAGTACCATAAAGCCAAGTTGCTCTCTCTACTAAAAGGGAAAGTAAAAAGACTTGAGAAAGGATATTTTATTCAAGAGAACGGAAGAAATGAAATAGGAAAAGAGATTTTAAGAGGCAGAGGTTCATAAGGATGAGTACTATGAAGCTAGAAATGGAGAGTATAGTTTTGGAGCAGAAAGAGGTCAGAAACTGCTAGAGCAACTCCCTAGAGACCAGGTTAAAGAAGTGTTAGGAAACTACATGAATCAGGAACAACTAAAGGAACTAGGTAAGATGTGTGAAGGGACGAAGAAGAATTGGCACAAGAAGGTTCTTCAAATATCTGAAGAGTTGTCACACAAACGAGGGAGTAAACAGTTTGAATAACTCCAAAAAAGCCACAGGGAGGTGGAACTGAGCTCAACATAAAACATACACACTTTCTAACAATTAGAACCATTGAAACATAGGCAAGATCCCATATGTTAGAGACTTTCTACAGAGCATCTCAGCTTTAGGTTTACATTGTACTAAAATATCTTAAAGTCCTATTCAACTCTAAGATTCCGTGAGCCATGAAGAAATAAAGCACTTGCTATGTTAAATTGGGATTAATCTGAATTTTCTGAAACCATTCTAGACAATGAATCTATTCAGAAGTCTGCAAAGTATCCCCCCAACCTTCCAGGTTTGCCTGTATAAGAGCTAGCCACCCAACTAAAGAAATAGTAATAATGCCAGGGATATAATTTTTCAACTGCAGTATTGTGTTGCCTACAACTTAATATCTTTTGGATACCTGTGGTAGATAAAAGATGGCCACAAACTCTTAGCTACTCCTCCCACTGAGAGGTCTATGTCCCTACTGTTGAATTGAAGGGGAGGGGCTTCTGAGATTGTATGACCAATAGAATTTAGTTGAAGTGATACTGCACCAATTTCCTGGCTTAAGACTTAAGAAACTGCCAGTTTCCACTTCCTCTCTCTTGAAGCAAACGCTCTTAGAGCTCTAAGCTATCATGGAAAAAGCCCAAGTACCACACAGAGAGGTCCTGAGACTACATAGAGGAAGAGGGGCCCACATGGGCCCAGCCTTCCAGTCACCCTTGCCAAGGTACTTGCCTGGCATTTGGGTTAAGCTGTCTTGGACCCTCCAGACCAGATCAGCTAGCAACTAATTATAACCAAGTGATTCCAGTTAATGCAATGTGGAGGAGAAAAATCCTTCCTGGATTCTCAGTAAATAAAACAATAAGATTTAATAAAATGGTGGTTGTAAGCCATATAAGTTCTGGGGTGGTTTGTTCCTCAGCAATATACAACAATATCTGTATGAAGGCACTGATGAGACCATGTTGGAATAAGCATGACACAAATATTTCATCTTCATTAAAAATTCAATAAATAGTATTAAAAGCAAAATGCAGGGGCCGGCCCGGTGGCACAAGTGGTTAAGTGCGCGCACTCTGCTGCGTAGGCCCGGGGTTCGCCAGTTCAGATCCCGGGCACGCACCGACACCCTGCTTGTAGAGCCAAGCTGTGGCGGCGTCCCATATAAAGTAGAGGAAGATGGGCACGGACGTTAGCTCAGAGCCGATCTTCCTCAGCAAAAAGAGGAGGATTGGCATCAGATGTTAGCTCAGTGTTGATCTTCCTCACAAAAAATAAATAAATAAATAAATAAATAAATAAATAAATAAAATAAAATAAAAGCAAAATGCATTATGCATTTTGACTTTAATTTAGCCTATGTGGCATATGCTACTTCTGGGTCTTCTAAAAGTTTTATTTATTTATTTATTTTTTTTGTGAGGAAGATCAGCCCTGAGCTAACATCCATGCTAATCCTCCTCTTTTTGCTGAGGAAGACCGGCTCTGAGCTAACATCTATTGCCAATCCTCCTCCTTACCCCCCGCCCCCAAAGCCCCAGTAGATAGTTGTACGCCACAGCTGCACGTCCTTCTAGTTGCTGCATGTGGGACACGGCCTCAGCACGGCCGGAGAAGCGGTGTGTCAGTGCGCGCCCGGGATCCAAACCCGGGCCGCCAATAGCGGAGCGCACGCACTTAACCGCTAAGCCACGGGGCCGGCCCAAACGTTTTATTTTAAAATCTAGGTTATTACAACTTTTACAAACATAACATGTAGAACAAAGTTGTCAAATGAAAACATTAAGCATATGAATGAGACAGTGGGTTCTAATGGAATGTGGACCTAAAAATCAAAACCACTTACTTGCTGGGTGGCCTATGTGTGTGTCATTTCATCTAAGTTTCAAATTTCTCTCTTTGTAAAATGTAGCTAATATATAAATTGCCTCACAGAGTTGCTGGGAATATCAAAGGAAATAACGTACATGAAAATACTGTGAAAACTTTAATGTGCTCTTCTATGTGTAATCAATAAACAGATAAAATGCATCAAATATACCTAGCAAATATACATTCTTAAGTTTTAAAATAACCATTTCTTTTTTCCAGTTGTAGAGATTTTATTACTTCAGGAGACTACAAATCTGTCAATCTAACTTGTTAGACACAGGAATACAACAAATTAACCTTCCAAATTTTAAACCTCCTATCATGGTGTTTATTGGGAAATAGTCTGAAAAGGTTTTCTAACTTACTAGTCATAATTGCTGCATGTCAGAAAACAAGAGAATATAATTATTTGTACCAGAGAGTACCATAAAACTTTAATACCTGTAGAGGAACATACTTTTCAGGCAAGTTGTGATATGTCTTATGAACTTATACGTTACCAAAGAAACTTAAGGATTGTGCTTTGAATTTAGAGTACAGTAACGTAATTCATATTTGCTCCCTCATAGAGCATACTTTAAAACACTTTTAAAATGTTCTATGCTTTCCACAAAGTTAAACACATCTTAGATATAAAAACTAACTCTATCAGAACAAATGTTTTAAAACACTAAAATGTTATGAGGTACAAAACACTGATTCTCATCAAGTACTTTTAATTTCCAAATAGTTTTATAAACACAGATGAGAGAAACTGTCATCAAATATGAGAATTGACATTTTGTACTTGTTTTATAACTTTATCTTATTTTAAAAGCTTTTCTAATATACAGATAATACTTAGAGAAAAATGAGTTTTAGTGTGCCCACAAGCATTACCAAATCTTAACACTGTACAAGCTGTATTAGTTTTAGATCTTTTTTTTTTTTTTTTGTGAGGAAGATTAGCCCTGAGCTAACATCCGTGATAATCCTCCTCTTTTTGCTGAGGAGGACCGGCTCTGAGCTAACATCTATTGCCAATCCTCCTCCTTATTTTTTTTTTTCCCCAAAGCCCCAGTAGATAGTTGTATGTCATAGTTGGACATCCTTCTAGTTGTTGTATGTGGGATGCAGCCTCAGCATGGCCGGAGAAGCGGTGTGTCAGTGCGCGCCCGGGATCCGAACCCGGGCCGCAAGTAGCGGAGCGCGTGCACTTAACCACTAAGCCACGGGGCCCGCCCAAGATCTTTTTTATTTTAAAAAAGAAAAAAATTAGTTACTGCTGAAGCCTATGATGTGCCCCTCTCCAATCCTATTTCTCTTCTCTCTGGGCTCTTCCTTCCCCCCAGACACCCATTACCCTGAATTTTTATTTCAACTTCACTTTAAATTCTAATCTGGTTCTAAATATCATTTATAGTTATTTTAACACCAAAAATAATTTTTGAAGGGAAAAATAGCAAAGAGAAAGGCTAAATAAGTGACTCAGTTTCCTCAGTCATTAACTGGATAATATCACTACCTATCTCTTAGGATGGTTCTGAGGCTTAAGAGAGGGAGCGCATATAAAACATTGAGCACCTCATTCACTGAATGCTCACTATGAGCAGGTACTGTTCTAGGCACCTTATGTACGTGAACTGATTTAACCCTCAAATTAACCATATGAGGAATGTACTAACCATTATTATCTACATCACCGGGGCAATTTTGTCCTCCAGGGGATATTTGCCATGGGCGGTGAGGTGGGTTGTTACCGGCACCTAGTGGGTAGACACCAGGGGTGCTGCTAAACATCCCACAATGTACAGGATAGCCCCCACAATAAATACTTATGTGGGCCAAAATGTCCATGGTGCCAAGGTTGAGAAACTCAGATCTACATTTTCATATATGTAATTTGAAACACAGATAGGTTATATAACTCACCCTAGGACACAAGTCCTAAGTGGAGAGCCACTTACTAAAAGCCATTCTCTACTTGCTTCCTAATAAAGTCATATTAAGAATAAAATGAAGTCAATATTATTTTCTATTTAACAAGGGCAAACAGTCTAAGTAAGGAAGTCTCTGCTTCATTCCAAAGCAGTAATTTTTAAATAATATATGTAAAAATAAACAATAAGTACTAGCTATATGAAACAAAAGAGTAGTTTTACCTTTCTTGCTTAATTAAAGTACCTGAGGACACTTTAAAACACTGAGACCTAAATTTTCTTAAAAATACAAAAATAAAATTTATCTTAGTATCAATAACTCAATTTGTTATACTTGCCTCATCTAGTGGATCCACATCTGTTTTCCTCATCTTAATAAGTACATCATATGCCTGCTGAAGTGCTCTGACCTTAGGATGAGAAACTCTAACATAGGCTGGGAGACAAATAAACCATAAACTGTAAGAATGACTGAAGAGACACTTGGCCCATTGTGGTGGATTTGTGTAACATCTCTTCGCCAACTTATGAGCTGTTTTTATCTCCTAGAAAGAGAATATAAAACATTATGGTATTTATTAAAATTCAACAGGGTGGGGGGAAAGTGAGAAGGAAAAGGGAGAGAAAAATTTAACGTGAAATTTGACTCTAAAATCAAACATTTCGTAGTTTTACTTTTGTGAGTGGCTTCCTACTTACCACCACATGGTTCCTCTAACATTCATTTATAGAAGTACTTTAAACTGTAACTATCTGTTGGCAAGCATGCATCTCCTAACAGGCTAGAAATTTCTTAAAAGCAGAGATCATTCATATTTTTATAATATAATGGTTAATTAGGTGACCTTCACACAGAAGGCACTCATATTTGACAGATGAAAGGGATTTAACCATTTAGAGTTAAATATCATTCTTGAAAAGTGATAGTCACTCTTCTCCCTGCTAAAAAGTTTAAGATGCCCTAGGCTACTGCCTTCCAAGATTTCTACTCTACCCTCCCTCACCACTGACTAATTCCTTAAAAAGACCTATTCCTTTGCAGGAAAAATAGTCTGAGAAAGATCACAGACCTTCCTACCTAACAGTTTGACAGTTGTGTTTTCTACCTCTGACTTTCATTCTGATCTAGGTAGAAGAGAGAATAGGTATCAAAATCACCTGCTGAGTTTTATCAAACCACATACTCCAAGAAGCTATAGAGCCTTCCAGACATGTCAGACTGCCACTGCGTGCCTTGCACCACAGATCCCTCTGCTGGGATGTGTTCAAAATAAAAATATCCTGGCGTATTAATTTTTATTATGAGCTCTATTTCCAGAAGACTTGAAGATATATTTGAAAACACAGCCCCCTATTTTCTAAGATCTGAAGGTCCTTTTCTTTTCCAGCTAGTCTGGAAAAAAAAAAATTCTGGTGAAAATGAGATTTAAATACTTAGCAAAATTCTCCCATTTTAAAAACTTGCCTTTATTAAGTTGATAGTAAAAAAATATATATATATATTTTCCCTTCAGACAACATTGAGAGAAATGTGTACAATATAAAATTAAGGAACACCTCAGGTTACCTCTAGGATTTGGGGACAATGTATGTGAATTGGTAAAACCTGAACTAAGAATTTCATTCTGAAATTTTCCATGTTTTGTAGACCCTCAAAATGTCAGTATATGTATAAAGGATGTTTAATTTTAACTCACACCTAACCATAGCTTAACTCTTTATACCTAAATCAGACATAGTATTAAAGCAAGATGTGTAGGCTGTCCTAACTTAACTCCCTTTAGAACATAATATTTGCTATAAATTATATTGACATTAACCACGAGGGAAATGCAAATCAAAATCACAATGAGATACCACTTCATACCCTTTAGGATGGCTATAATCAAAATGACAGATAATAACAAGAATTGACGAGGATGTGGTGAAACTGGAACCCTCATACACTGCTGGTGGGAATGTAAAATGGTGTAGCCACTTTGAAACACAGTCTGACAGTTCCTCAAAAGATTAAACATAGAGTTACCGTATGATTCAGCAATTCCACTCCTAGGCATATACCCAACAGAAATGAAAACATACATCCACACAAACACTTGTACACAAATGTATATAGCAACACTACGCATAATAGCTATAAAGTAGGAACCACCCATATGTCCAGGAATGGATAAATAAAATGTCTATATCCATACAAAGGAATATCATTCAGCAATAAAAATAAATGAAGTACTGATACTTGCTGCCACATGGATGAACTTTAGAAAACATTATGCTAAGAAGCCAGTTACAAAAGGCCACATATTGTACGATTCCATTTATATGAAATGCCCAGAAAAGACAAAACTATAGAGACAGAAAATAGATTAGTGGTTACGTAGGGCTGTGGGGGATGGAGGAAGTGGAGGTTAACAGCTAAGGAGTGTGGGCTTTCTTTCTGGGGAGACAAAAATCTTCTAAAATTGATTGTGGCAGTGGTTGCACAACCCTGTAAATATACTAAAAGACATCAAGTATACTTTAAAGGGCTGAATTATATGGTATGTAAATTATATTTCAATAAAAATGTTTTTAAAAAAGTGCATTTGGTTCCCAAGAATTCTCTTAAAGCATAAACATAAGCATTCAAAAACTTCGGCTTCAATATTATAACTAGGGTCGCAAGAAATCTAGTTTAATTCATTAACAACCGTAGTGGGTCTTCAAATGGCTGCTGTGGGTGATAATTCTAAACTATGAGCTGCATATCACATACACATATTTTACATTTTAAATTAACATGTATTACATGAAGAATATCTGACCTGTTTAGTTCTCTTAGCCATGAGAGCTGGACTGTTTGTAATGCTATTCCCAGTAGAGTGTCTACTAAAACAAAGTTTCAACTCCTGCGGTCTGTCAAAAAGCTTAAGGTCCAGTCTTGGGAAGTATTTGTAACTAAAATAAAAAGCAAAAATAGAACTGCTGATTTAAAATATATTAACTCTTTATATTATTCCAGAATTTAGGTGAGTATTTCTAAACCTCAAATAGTACCCAATATTATTTCCCAAAATCCTTATATAGAAAAAAAATATTTTTCAAAACTATAAGATGATGTAGTTATAAGATACATAGACCTCCTCCCCACTCTATTTATTTTCAACCAATCCCTGGAAAACCGAAAACCCTGATATCTTGACAGAGAAATTAATAACTCTTTCAACAGAACCCATCGTGTTCAATGACAATTTATATTAAAAAATAACATTTAGTATACTTTGTAATTTTGTTTTTCTTCATAAAAGTACCTTGCATTGGCATTTAAAAGAAAAAAAAATCTACAATATTTTTATTTTAGGGATGTACCATAATTTAACCAATTCTTTACTATTGCACATTTTTAGGTTATTTCTGAATTTGTGCAATTAAATATCTTTGTGCATATATCTTTGTGAACACTTTTACTTAATTTCTTAGGATAATGCCAAATAACAGAGTTTGCCATGGTCAATGTTTAGCAAGAGAATCAATTATTATTATAATCACTATCAAATTATTTCCAGAAAAGTTACACCTGCACACACTCTAGTAGCATAGCCTATCCTCAATTTGATAGATTATAAATGTTTCTACTCATCATTTTGGTTCGCATTTCTTTCAATCCTAGAAAAGCTTAATATATTTTCATATTATGGAATATTGGGATTTCTTCTCAGAAATTGCCTACTTATTTCCTTTGGCCAATTTTCTTCTAGGAGATAATGCCTTTCCCTATTTGATTTACCTTGTTTGTCAATACCTGGATTCCAATGTACAGTGATTAAGCCAAAGTAAAAAAGAATTATATAATTAACACACAATCAAAATAATACTTAATTAAGCCACTCAATCCCAGGTATATACTCTTCATTCTTACGCAGTTCTGGTGAGATTATATATTAATTCCATATTTTTGGAAGACACTTATTTTATATTCCCTTTGCCCCAGAAATTCTTTTAGGAATATAGCCTAAGAAAATAACTGTGTATATACACAAAGATATAGACAGCAAAGAACTACAAACAAATCCACAGGAGACTACTTAAACAAATCACAATAAATGCATGCAATGTGGTCATTCAAAATGATATGGCATAAAAATATTTATTGGCATAGAAAAATGTTCAGACCGTTAAAGGCAAACACAGGTTATAAAGAATATGCACAAGATGAACTTATATTTAAGCAAAGTAAATGCAAATTTATGTAAAAAAGATAAGATATACATACAATTGTTAACAGACTAAGTATTGGTGTTAAAATGATGTGCTAGTTTTCTTTTTTTTGTCTGATTTTCTAAGTTTATTAAACTGTTTTATCATGATTATAACGATAAAGAGCAATCAAATACATTTAAAAAAATTTCTTAAAAAATTCCATCCAAATTCTATTCTTTTTTTTTTTATGAGGAAGATCAGCTCTGTGCTAACATCTGCCAATCCTCCTCTTCTTTTGCTGAGGAAGACTGGCCCTGGGCTAACATCCGAGCCCATCTTCCTCCACTTTATATGCGACACGACCACAGCATGGCTTGCCGAGTGGTGCGTCGGTGCGCGCCCAGGATCTGAACCGGTGAACCCCGGGCCGCCGCAGCGGAGCCCACGCACTTAACCGCTTGCACCACCAGGCCAGCCCCAAAATTCTATTCTTTAAGTTTATTTTAATAAAGAATGTTTCCTGGTCCTCTACTTTTAGGTTTTCTCTGATATCTTACTAATGCATAAGAATTTCACGGTCTTTGTTATTGACAACAAAACCCCCAAAGGAAAGGGGAACTTCACAAAAGTAAATTTTTTCTTCTTCAGAAATGAAATTTTAAAAGATTAAAATATGGTTAGGGGGCCAGCACAGTGGCGTAGTGGTTAAGTTCACATGCTCCGCTCAGGTGTCCTGGGGTTCGTGGATTCAGATCCCAGGCATGGACCTGTGCACCACTTATCAGCCCATGCTGTGGCAGGAATCCCACATATAAAGTGGAGGAAGATGGGCACAGATGTTAGCCCATGGCTCATCCTCCTCAACGCGCCCCCCCACACACAAAATACGGTTAGATGTTTAGGTGAATAGTAATAAACATCTGACTTCCCTTCCAACAAGGCTGTCTAATTCTTAAATTACCATACCTGGTGACATCTCCACAAAACATTCATCTCCATTAGTTCACTGAATAAATTTTGAAAATGACCTTCACTAATGATTAATATACACATCTACTAATAACTGCAAAAGATCAAAATAAATTATTAAAGCTGTGCCCAAAGAACTCTTCAAAAAAAATTCCAGCTACCTGTACTTTGGCGATAGGTCCTTTCCATCATCAGGAGGTGGCTCTGGTGGCATTATAAATACAGTGTGCTCACTTTTCTGAGAATCATCTAGCTCTATCAATTTGGTATCTTCTGCTGAATCAAAATCAACCTGAAAATAATGATTTTCTCCAATTAATTTGCATATAAGTAAAATCTAATTGAGAAATTTCAAAACTTAAATTTAAGAAAAAATACCTTATCTGTTTTCTCTGTGCCTTTATCAGGAAACAACTAGAAAAGAAGAAAAGAATAGAGGTTATCTTAAAATCTTATTAAAAAAACTATCCTTTTTAATACTGGGCAAACACTTCACAATATATTTTGGGAGCCCTATACTATTAGGCTAAAGTATGGTATTTCTCTTATGGCTATTAGGCTAGAAAACAATTTATTTTGGTTAGTTTTTTCATAAATCCTTCTTCACAAGCAAAAGATAACAAAAGGAATCTGGCTTCTCAAATCAAAAATTTCATTACTATTAAACCCCTGCATTAGTGACTGATATTACCTAAGCTTCCCTCTAACTGGATGATGTTGGACTAGCAATTTTATAAGCAAACAAAAATGTTGAATAGTTTTAATCACATCCCTGGAGTTTTAGATCACACTGATAGAATGAGAGAAAATTATTCAAGTCTTCTAAAGCATAAGAATCATTAGGAGCCCATAAAAATTACAATGTCATACTATTCTACCTTTTTTGGATACAATATCAAATTTTATATAATATATAGTTTTCATAAACAATCAGCCCCAAGATCCACTTAGCAATAATAACTATTAAAAACAAGGAAAAATACGTGAGTCATGACTATCAAGAATCAACTTAAACTTCCTTAGGATGGGTGAGTAAAGCTTAAATTAACATATTACCAAACATCCTCCACTAGGACAAAAGAAACATATTAACAAAAGTATTTGGAAAGATATTAAAACAAAAGAACACAGGACTTCCATTACCCATAAAACTAAACTTTTTAAATGAACTACTAAATCTTATCTTATTCATTTAAATTAAAAATGTAAGATTTAGGAGGTTCAATAAAACGTTCTTTGTACTTAATAGTTATAAAACCAAAGTGAGATTCAAAGAGAAAAATTAGCTATGTATCGTAGAAACTAGATACCACAAAGGAAAATGATTCTTATAATTAAGCCTAGAATTGGACACTCTTGTGTACGCATGCACATACACATACACACACCCCTATATTGTCTCCCTCAGATAATCTGGGCTAATAATGATGATGATAATGAGAGAGGCAGTCAAACTGTTAAAGCTTATTCTTAACATTGATACACTGTATAGGACAAACTTTTACCTTTTCTATGCAGTCATCAAAAAATGCCAATCCAGTATCTTTATCACTTACAAAACTACATTCTTCAATGAAACGAATAAAAATCTGTGTTTTGGATAAAAGGGTGTAGAATTTTGTATAAGCACGATCTCGACTTTTTAAAAATCCTGAAGAAAACAAAATTACAATTAAATTCAAATTTTAAAGTGGAACTAGATGTTATATTAAACATTATTTTAAACTTATACATATCTGTACTATATTCCCTTTATATATATTCACATTTACAGAAGCTTTTAGTAACCAGATTCTAGTAACCATAGCTCCTTCTGCCTAATTCAACCACAAAACAACTTATACCATTAACCTTTTCACTGAAATCTGAATCTCCTATAAAGAGCCTCCAGCCCTACAGCTCTCAAGCTCGCAAGTAGAAATTTCTCTGATACTCTGCATGCTCTTGAGCTGAGAAGGGTCAATGTCCTTCCTCTGCAATGCCACCATAATGCCACAATTATTCTTGTACTGTCTTGTAAAAATTTCTGCCCACTGAAGGTTCATGCATCTGGCTATTCGATCCTTTCCCCTACTAACTGTAATCATCTATTGACTTCAGGGACACTCTCTCCTTCATTCACAAAAGACCAGGGCACCTAATTCAAAGTCTTCTCCTCTCCAACTCCTACCATCATCATTCTTCAACATTCAAAAGTATGTTTGAATACTTTTGGGGGGGGGGGGACGGACGACGACGACGACAGGTGTGCTCATTGAAAGCTACAATCCATTTACCCTTTTACGTCCTACCTACACCCTCCTGTCTTTACTTCTCTCTCCACCCAATATTGATTCCATGTCCACGTCCATGATATCAATTACTTTCTTGTCAACACTCAATTCTTATGCCCTCTTGTCTTTTTTGTCAAATCCACCTAGTATAACCTCGCCCTGAAAGAATGTTTTGCCTGCTCCCTCTGGATCTGCACCTTCGTGGCTGAGCACAAGCTAAAGAGGAAAAAAAGTTCTACAACTAGGTGGATCAGAAACACTTATACCTTCATCCCTGACCAGCAACCCTACTACACTTCTGGAATCCATTTAATTTCCCTTTACCCATATTTTCACAGCTATTTCCAATTTTAAATGCTCTCTCTCCATGTTCTCGCCTCCTATTCCTGAATGATCATACCTTATATTGCAGGGAAAATGAAAATCTTTAAATGAGAACTACCTTCATTATCTCACTACAAAATCTATGACTCTTTCTACAGCTATCATTTACTCCTTCTCTCTTTTTACAATGGATATGTCCCTGCTCCAATCTAAGGCCAAGCCCACCAGAGGAGCCTGAGATTCCAGCCCCTTCAGTGTTCTCAGGACAATTCTCCCTCTCCATTAGCTACTTATCAGCATACTGAAGTCTCTCTTTCTCATTTTAAAAGACTCATCCTTAACAAATAATCGATCTTTCCCTTTTCTGCTGCTTCGCTTCTCAATAAAGGGCTCGACCATCCATTTTGTCGTTAAAGACAAAAATCTCAAAGTTGCTCTTGATATCTCCCTCTATCTTTTATCTCATATTCAGAGAGTGACGTAAGCATCATGGCAGAATGAGTTGTTCCCTTTGTCTCTCACCTCTAAATTACAACCAATCAGACATCCATTGACCAACAGAGGATTCCCTACACAGCACAACAGTATGCATGACAGATCCATGCATCTCTACATCTGAAGGTGGGTGACCTGGACTCGGGGAGGCAGGGGAACTAGGGGAGCAGCTCCCCAACTCCCCTGCAGCAGCGATCCAGGATGCGGATCCTCACGCAGTGGCTGGCAAGACTGTGAGCGGAGGCGGTGGTGCCCCGGCCTGCATGACTACTAGCAGAGCCAGTGGGAGCAGAAAAAACAGCCCCTGCTTCCCCCCAGCAGTGGCAGATGGAACCTGCAACCAGAGGCTTCAGGAACCACAGCAGAACCGGTGACCCAGCCCCCAGTGGTGGCACTCCCCACACCAGCACCACCAGGAGTGGGGGCTGCATACAAGTCTCCAGGTCCCTGGCAACAACAGCGACACCCATGAACCCAGCATCTCTGGCGGTGGTACAACCAGCAACCCCAGACAACCTGGGAGCAGTAGTGCAGGTGGTACACAGGGCAGCAGCATCTGAGCCTGTGGAGAGTCTGCAGAGAGCCAGTGGAGGACATGAGACCCAGGTGACTTGGGAAGCAGCAGAAGTGTTTGCAGCCTGGTGACTCTGGTGGCGGCACCTCAGACTGCAGCAACATCGTCAACAGCAAGGCACCAGCAACATCAGAGGCATAATGTGGCACAAGTAGGGCACTGATGACGCCTCTAGCAGAAGCAGTGGAGGGTGGAAAGTGCAGGCTCTCATATACAACCAGAAGCAGCCCAGAACCAAAGTAACCAAAGCCGTACCCAAATAAGAAAAGGTGATTACTACCACAAGTGCACTGCCAGAGGATCAATTCATCAAACACCATGCAGAACCACAATAACACAGCAGAACAGAAAGAGAATGACAACTCTCCAGAAACCAAACTTGAAGTCACAGAAGATTACACTCTAACTGACAGAGAATTCAAAATAGCTGTCATGAAGAAACTCAACGAGTTACAAGAAAACTCAGAAAAGACAGTTGGATGAGCTCAGGAATAAAATCAATGAACAGAAGGAGTACTTCACCAAAGAGACTGAAACTCTAAAAAAGAAAAAACCAAACATCTCATATTCAATCACCAAGTTCTATTCAATTTACCTCCTAAAAATCACTGTTCTATTCATACTACCTCCAACTAATCCAGGTCCCTTCCACTGATCACTTGGACCAATGCATTAACCAATTAATTCATACTTTGGATGCTTCCAATTCAATCTCTGCATAGAAGCCAAAGAGATTTTTTTAAAAACACTCAAAGTGATCTTTTAAAAATGCAAATATGATCCTATTACCTATTTAAATATCCTTCACTGGCTTGCAATTACTCTTAGAATAAAGACTGAAACTCTTGACTGGTCCTAAAAGATCCTAAATGATCTGGCACACACCCACCATTTCAAGCATGGTTTTTGAGCCACTTTTCCCTCCAGCCTTTCTTTCTTTGATGCTTCAGGGCATTCCACATGCTGTGGTCCTCACTTCATCCCCTTGAGATACTAATTAGTAGAGAAATGCTTAAATAAAATAGAAATAAATTATTCTTGACAAGTGGTAATGAAAAGTCTTTTTTTCTTATTCTAACGGATCTAGGCGATGATCAGCAAAGGCTGCTAAAACAATTAAATGAAAAGCTGATGAGGAAACTATAATGAATGAATGAGACAGACAACACTTCAACCCACTGATCAATATTAGGAGCACTAAAAATGGGACAGCAGACATGTATGTGCCTCACAATAGGAAGTAGTAAGCACCATGTGTTTTGGCACTACTTGCCAAGAAAACTGACCCTGACTCCAATCAACCTCTAGATGAGTACTGTTTAATTCAGTAACCACTACCCACACGTTGCAAGTGGCACTTGAAACATGGCTGGTCCAAATTGAGATGTGCTATAAGTATAAAACACATGCCAATTTTGAAGCCTTAGTATGTAAAAAAGAACGTAAAATATTTCATTAAAATTTTAAAAATTTCATTAGATATTGAAATGACACTATTTGGGATATATTAAGTTAGAGAAAATATATTATTAAAATTAATTTCCGGGGCAAACCCAGTAGTGCAGGGGTTAAGTTTGCGCACTCAACTTCAGCACAGACCTACACACCACTCATCAAGCCATGCTGTGGCCGCGACCCACATACAAAATAGAGGAAGACTGGCGCAGATGTTAGCTCAGGGCCAATGTTCCTCACCAAAAAAAAAAAAAAAAAAAAAATTAATTTGCTCTATTGCATACTTTTTTTTAACTGTGGCTACTAGAAAATTTTAAATTAAATATGTAGCTCACATTGTATTTCTATTGGACAATACAGCTCTTGATCCAACCCCAAGTTTACAGGAAATACTGATGATAGAAAAAATGTTAAACACCACCAGCCAATCAGTCAGCCTGATACAATCAGCCAAAAGCAGATATAAATCCAGGAAATTCTAAAGGATAATTAACACAGTTTACGGGTGAAATGATGTCCTGTTTGGAAAGAAAGAGAGAAAGAAAGCGGGGGAGGGGAGGGAAGGAAAGAAAGGAAGGGTGGGTTAACTAAAGGTAGATGAAACAAAAATGGCAGAATGCTGATTGCTACTACTGCTGAAGTTGGAAGATGGCTATATGAGAATACATTATATTAGTCTCTCTACTTTCACATGTTTGTGAAAGTATCCCTAGTAAAAAGTTAACCCAAAACTCGTAGCTAATTCCTATTCATTTTTCAGGCCCAAGCTTAATTGTTACTTCTCAGGGAACATTTCCTTCCCTGACCTAGCACTCTCACAGTAACCAAAACTTTCCTTCACAACACACTTAGTAAAATGTAATTAGTATTTGTCTTATTTTATTGTCTGATGTCTATATCCCTCATTAGACCAAATGCTATCCTGTTACCAACAAAAACCTTAGGCCTCAGACACTAAATATCTATCTTGCTATATTCCATTAGTAATGCCACTCTCCTACTTAGAGACAGAGAGACAGAATGAATTAATAACCCACTACCACCCATTAGAAAAACTTCATCTTCTTAGTCTGACATTTAAGACGTCCATAATCTGAGCTCTAATCTTATTTTCAGCCTTATCTTCTACAACACCTCTAAAGCTCTTCACTTTGGTCAAATTGTACCATTAAATCTTTTTTCCCAAACATGCTGTTATAGGTTGAATTACGTCCCCACTCCCCCCAGTTCTTATGTTGAAGTCCTAACCCCCAGCATTTCAGAATGTGACTGTATTTGCAGATAGGGTCCTTAAAGAAGTAATTAAGTCAAAATGAGGTAATTAGAGTAGGCTCTAATCCAATATGATTGGTGTCCTTATAAGAAGAGGAAATTTGGACACAGATTCATACAGAAGGAAGACCATGTGAAGACACAGGGAGAAGATGGCCATCTACAAGCTAAGGAGAGGCCTCAGAGGAAACCAATCCTGCCAACACATTCACCTTGGACTTTTAGCCTCTAGAATTGAAAGAAGATAAATATCTGTTGTTTAAGCTGCCCAATCTATGGCACTTTGTTATGGCAGCCCTAGCAAACTAATACACATGCCTTGTGCTTTTGTTCTTGAGGTTTCTTCCATTTCATTATGACCACTAATGATAATAGCTATCATGGGTATTGTAAAGTACTTTTACTAGTTGATTCACATACATTTTCTCATTTAATCTTCACAACCATGTATGAAAAAGTATCATCCCTATTTTATTAACGAGAAAAAAGAACCCCAGAAAGGCTTCATAAATAGCAACGTAGAAATTCTAATTCAGATTTGACTTTTAATGCCTATTGTTTTTTAAAAAGCCTTTCCTGCTTATCTCCATTTATCTAAATTCTACCCATTCTCCAAAGTCATGCTCTTCTTCCACGAAGTCTTCCAAAATACTCATTTGGAAGAATGTTCCCTTATTCTGAATTTTTAGAATTTCTCACTGAATTATTAATTGCATAAAATCTGTTTTCTTGAATACTTGTTCTATTTTTAAAAACATTTTCAATTATTGTCCATTTAGTATCTCATAGAGCTAAATTTTATATTTCTTTATATCCCTATATAACAACTAGTCAGATTTGGTAAGTGGTGACTAAAATCTGACAGATAAGTTATCCCAAAGCAGAAATGATAAAAGACAAAAGGATTACTGGGAAAATACAGATTTTTTTTTTAATTAACTGCTGGGTAAAAGTACAGAAATACAGAAATGTAAAATAATCTTCCTATGAATATTGATGAATGTGGAAGCTTGCTACTACATACACGTTATAAGAGCAGCTGAATAACAACAAAAACCTTTATAATTCTCTAAAATAACAAGAATGAGTATAGTGTTTTCCCCTGGAGCAAGGCTATATTTTTCAAAAATTTTTAAAAACTGGTGGCTTTATTCCAAAAACTAGTTTTTAGGCAATATTTTAAAGCCGAGTGTATAAATCCAAGAATTATGCAAAACTGAGGAAACATCTAAAAGCTAATCACCAGCTATGTTCTATTAAGATAACTGACTATAAAGAATTGTAAATATAAACATCTTTGACTTTTCATGATTAAAGACCTCCAGTTTCAGATTTCTCAGGAAAAAATAATGTATAAAAATTAAAAGCAATTCTATTCATAGAGGTAGATTACAAATACACAGAAGTTCATTATATTTTAATATAAATTTCTAAGAACTTATACGAAATAGAAAATATTTTTCATTTCAATAAAAAGTAACTGCCACTCACCCTGTCGGTCAAACAATGAATCAGCAGCTGTGGCTTTATTTGAAGGAGCCTCTGTGATCGGTCTGAGATATGTTCTATAGCCTTTTAAAATGGACGCCATAAAGCGCAAAAATGCCTCCTGAATTTCCATCTCAAGTTGTGTCATCTTCTTTTGCCAGGAGAAGTCTGCTTCAATTGGAGTCATCTCAATTGCTGAACCTTCTTGAGTTTTTCGGTGAACTGACAAACAGCGTAAGAAGAGAAAATGGCATTAACATATAATTATAGATATATAATGATTGAACAATTAAGGAAATTGTCAAAATAAAGCCCATGACTTCCTGAAATTCCTCTCTCCATTAATATAAAGGGATCTTTGGCAGGGGCTAACAGGGAGGCTCACACAGACAAGGCACAGAGAACATGCTCAAAAAATCATGAACCACAATACTAATTTCTTATTACTGGAATTTTGTTTTATAATGAGACTCCTTTTAAGCAGAGCAAAATTATGTTTAAATTTAAGAAGAATTTCTCATGTACATTCTTTCATTAAAAATATTCCTTCTTCCTCACATTTACCTGAAGAGAGCTGGGGATACAATTTCCTCAAGGTGCTAAGCAGACTTTTGCATGGCTTTTTGGGAAGCTGCTTCCAGTTCATGTTCTTCTTTTCATCTGATCTATTAAATAAAAACAAAATTAACAAAATCTGTTATAATCTGCTTTTACTTAAACATTCTTATGTCAAACTAAAAAAGAAAACAGAAAGGGTATTTTTAGTGAAGTTACAAGTGATACAGACAGTCTGAATAAGTGGTTTTCAAAGAAGTTCTCTTTTCATTTCAATCAACCTCAGTCAAATTTGGTCATCTCATTCTAACTCTCCAGCATAAACAGTTTTCAACATTGGAGTTATGAATACAACACTGAAGTCTTGCTTCAAAAGTTACATTTTAGAATTATAATATTTTAAGTGTCAAACTTAATTGACTTGAGACTTCAAACTACCTATTAGAAACAAATCTGAACAAACATCCGAGTCAGTAACATTCAGAGCACGTTCTGACCACAATGCAACTGAGTTCGCATTTAAGAAAAAAAAAAAAAATGTGAGTTAAAAAGAACACTTTTAGGGGCCGGCCCGGTGGCGCAGGCGGTTAGGTGCGCGCGCTCCGCTGCGGCGGCCCGGGGTTCGCTGGTTCGGATCCTGGGCGCGCACTGACGCACTGCTTGGCGAGCCATGCTGTGGCGGCGTCCCATATAAAGTGGAGGAGGATGGGCACGGATGTTAGCCCAGGGCCGCCTTCCTCAGCAAAAAAAGAGGAGGATTGGCGGATGTTAGCACAGGGCTGATCTCCTCACAAAAAAAAAAAAAAAATCACCAAAAAAAAAAAAGAACACTTTTAAATAATACAGGAGTCAAATAAAATATTTTATTAGAAATAAGAAACATTTAAAACTCTACAAAGATGAAAGCACTACCTATCAACCACGGGCTGCAGCTAACGCTATACATCAGGCCAATATCACTATGAATATCAATGCAAGTATCTTAGATTCTTAGAAAACTTATATACCAGGATATAAAAAAATAAGAGCAAGATGATGTTTATTTCAGGAATGCAAGGACTGTTTACTACTAATTGATTTTATAATGTAATTTGCCACACAGAGATCAAAGAAGAAAAACTTAATGCTCATCTCAATAGTTGTACAAAAGTATTATAAAATTCAACACCATTTATGATTTAAGAAAAAAAACCTCAATCTAGAAGTAGAAGGAAAGTTCCTTAATTTATTATTAAGCAATCAAAACCCTAAAGCAGGGCTAGCAAACCTTTTCTATAAAGGGTTAGATAATAAATATTTTATGCTTTGAGGACCACAGGGCCTCTGTCACAACTATTCAAATGTGCCATTGTAGCATGAAAACAGCCTTGTGCCATATGTAAACGAATGAGTATGGCTATGTTCCAATAAGGTTTTATTTACAAAAATGGGCCTTAGGCCAGATGTCAATTCTTGCCTTAAAGCAATAATCAATCATACTTAATGATGAACTGCTCACAGCTTTCCCTTTGAAACTAGGAACAAGATAAGATCCGGCTATGACTATTTCTATTCAACATTTCACTAGGATCCTAGCCAGAGAATTAAGACAAGAAATTTAAAAATATGTAAGGATTGTAGATGATGTGACTGTTTATAGCCAGATAATTGAAAAGAATTTACAGACAAACTAAAATACGAGAATTTAACTAAGTTGCTGGGCAGCAGACCACTACATAAAAATCAATAGCACTTCTATACCCCAGCAACTAACAAGCAGAAAATGTAATTAAAAATACCATTTACAGTAGCAATAAAAACCATAAGATACTTAGGAATAAATAAGTCTAACAAAAGATGTGGAAAAAAAAAAAAGGTGTGCATGGTCTTTATGGAGAAAACTGCAAAGTTTATTGAAAAAACTTTAAAAAGATCTATGAAGTAAATTACCAAATTCATGGGTAGGGAGACTTTATATCAAAAAGATGTCATGTGCCACTAAATTAATCTATAAATTCAAGAGAATTCTAACCAAAATTCACAACATAGTTTTGTGTGGAACTTAAGCTGATATTAAAAATTATGAAAAAGCAAAGGCCCAAATATAATCAAAACAATTTTAAATGGGGTAAATGGACTTGCCATCTCACATCACAACTTTTTTTCAACAACCTCATTGAGATATAATTCACATACCATACAACTCACCCATCTGAAGCGTGCAATTTGAAGGTTTTCAGTATATTCAAAGAGTTGTATAACCACCAGCACAACCAATTTTAGGATATTTTCATCACCTCAAAAAGAAACCCTGCACTCCTTTAGTCATTAACACTCAATTCCCCCTCTTCCTATCCCAAGGCAACCACAACCACACTACTTTCTGTGTCTATTTTTTTAGATTTGCCCTGGACATTTCACATAAATGTGATCACATAAGCTCTTTTAGAATGATGTTTTCCAGGTTCATCTATGTTGCAGACAACTTAATTTTAAAGTCATGAAGATACTGTGATACTGACAAGAGGCTAAAACAGACCAAGGAACAGAATAATAAGCCAGGATACATATCTCCACAAATATAGAAATTGGTACGTAATGGTGTTGACAATGAAGACCAGTGGGGAACAGATGAATTGACTACTCTATAAATACTGCCATGTGACAATTGTTTATCCACGTGAAAAAAAATAAAATGGTATCTCTATGTCATATCATACACTAATATCAAGTTTAGCTGAATTAAAGACCTAAATGAGAAAGGCAAAACCTTAAAACTTTAAGAATATCCAGGATAGTATTTCATGACCTCAAGGAGGAGGATTTCATATACAAGAACCAAAACAGCAATCCATGAAAAGATATTGCTAAATGTGATCAATTAAAATAAGCTTCTGTTCATCAAAAGACACCATAAACAGAATGAAAAGACAAGTCACAGTGTGAGAGAAGCTATTTGCAATGCATGTAACAGACCAAGAATTAATTCCAGATTATATAAAGAACTTATGCAAACCAAAAAAAAAAAAAAAGACAAACAACCCAACAGGAAAACACACCATAAAAAGGAAAATCTAATTCACAGGAGAGAAAAACCAAGGGGCAAAAAGAAACTAAAATGCCCCATTTGCTACTAATTAAGGAAATGTGAATTAAAGCCACAGTGAGATCCCATTATCTTCAAATTAGCAAAAATTTTAAAGCCTGACCATAACAAGTATTAGCAAAGATACGGAACAAAGAGGACTCTCATTTGCTGCAAAAAGGGGGTAAACTTGGGGAGTAATGTGGCATTAGCTACGCCTACCAACCAACATTAGCTCTTCTAGGTATGTGCTTCAGAGGAATTCTTGCCCATGTACTCAAAGAAATATGCACAATAATGATCAAAGCAGCCTTGTTCATAATTGGAAAAACGTAGGTACAATGTAAATATCCACCACCGATAAAAACTGAAAATGAAGTAGAGCTACATGTATCAACATGGATGAACCTCACAAAGAATGCCAAGGGAAAAAGCAAGTCACAGGGGCCAGCCTGGTGGCACAGCGGTTAAGTGTACGCTCTCCACTTCGGCGACCCGGGGTTCTCAGGTTTGGATGCCGAATGCACACCGATGCACCGCTTGTCAAGCCACGCTGTGGCGGCGACCCATATAAAGTGGAGGAAGACGGACACAGATGTTAGCCCAGGGCCAATCTTCCTCAGCAAAAAGAGGAAGATGGGCATCGGATGTTAGCTCAGGGCTGATCTTCCTCACACACAGACACACACAAAAAAGTAAGTCACAGAAAACCATACAAACCAAAACATTTTAAAGCATGCAAAACAAAATATCACTTAGAATAATACGTTGTGTTTCTAAAATACATAGAAATGATAAACCTCAAATTCAAGATAATGGTTAACCAGGAGCAAGATATGTTGCAGAGTTCTATCCAGCGGTTTCAAATTTATTGGTAGTACTATTATATTTCTTAATCTGGGTGATGGATACATGGGAGTTATTTAAATTACTATCTATAATTCTTGGGTATCTAGAACATTTCATAATTGTTTAAGTACAACTGAGCAAAGAGTTCAAAGTTATTTTAGAAAACAACGTTTTGGGCCAGCCCAGTGGCTTTGCCGTTAAGTGCACGCGCTCCGCTACTGGTGGCCCGGGGTTCAGATTCCGGGCGCGCACCGACGCACCGCTTCTCCGGCCATGCTGAGGCCGCGTCCCACACACAGCAACTAGAAGGATATGCAACTATGACATACAACTATCCACTGGGGCTTTGGGGAAAAAAAAAGGAGGATTGGCAATAGATATTATCTCAGAGCCGGCCTTCCTCAGCAAAAAGAGGAGGATTAGCACAGATGTTAGCTCAGGGCTGATCTTCCTCACAAAAAAAAAGAAAAAGAAAAAAAAAAAAAAGAAAAAGAAAACAATGTTTTGATCAAGAGAAATTTTATACAAGTTATTTAAAACTGGGCAAAATTAAGAATCTCCATAATATTATTTTACTCAGAATAGTAAATAAGGTAAACATCTCAGTTACAACTTCATAAATAATTTCCAAAAGCATCATAATGTATATAACCCTGCTTTTCAGGGATAGTAGCTGAAAAACAAAATGTGTGCTACAAGAAATATTTAGTGCATGCAAGTGGTTCATTACTTGCAGGCTGTAAGTAAATCTAATTACACATAGTAAAGAGCTACCACAATTATACAGTTTCAAAATACAATGGTAGATCCATTTCAAAACTATTTATTAAGTTATAGCAAATGTCTTCTTCCCTCCTTAAGTTATTGTTTGGTTCACTTAGGGACAGTTTCCCAACCAATTGTACTGTGTGATCATTGAAGTCTCACCCAAAATTCTTACTCTATTTATTTCCTGCCAATCTCTAACAGTAAAGAATAAAAATGCTGCAGGACCTGGAAGTTGGCACCAATATTAGGGAATCACTGCCCTTTCCCACTTTTTTCAGGGGGCAAGGAGGAGGTGGCTCTTAAGCATCCATCCAGAGTTGCTGCTTTTATTAATCTGGTACGCTACTCTCTGAACCCTCAGTCACACCCCTGCTGTACATATTTATCACCTCCAATAAACACAAACTATGACTGATTTTTAATATCAATTTCTCTGCAATACAATAGATCTTTATAAAATTCAAACTTTGACCACCAAGCGAATGGCGCAATATTACCCTATATTATGACTAAAGTCAAACAGCTAAAGCCATTTTTTAAAAGCTTACACATGGATTTTGAATTAAACCTAGAAAGCATATCATCTCTTGAGCTCTGAAAGCAGTGTTTAACCTTTTTTTTTTCAAATCCATATTCTCTTTCGTGTGTGTGTGTGAGGAAGACAGGCTCTGAGCTAACATCCATTGCCAATCCTCCTCTTTTTGCTGAGGAAGACTAGCTCTGAGCTAACATCTGTGCTCATCTTCCTCTATTTTGTATGTGGGATGCCTCCAAAACATGGCTTGATAAGCGGTGTGTAGGTCTGCACCCGAAATCCAAACCTGCGAACTCTGGGCCGCCAAAGTGGAGCACGCGAACTTAACCACTACGTCACAGGGCCGGCCCCTATATTCTCTTTTGATAAACATAAATATCTCCTGCCTACTGTTAACCTTATTATCTAAATATAAACTATTATAATATTGAACTTTTTCTTTTTCAAACTACACAGCTTTACAGGATTCTGATACCTGCCTTGGTTGAGAATCATTGTATTAAAGATGAAGACTTACTAACAACTTTAAAAAATAGCATATTTCTAGATGCTTTCAATGAGCTATAACTACATATGGGGAAAAATATAAATGGAAGATAAAATAAAAAGAATCAACTTACACATATAACATGTTTGTATCCAAGTCAATGCAAACAACATCTTGGGGTGGGTCATGAAGATCAAAGTACCTTGAGTCCACGCCAACTATAAACGGTAAAGGTGCACTAAGCACCGCCGCCAGTGAGAGAGGACAAAGGGGAATATATGGGCACTGCCACTGAAATGGAAAGATCATCTGGGAAAAAAGGTGTAAGAAATTACCCGAATTTTAAATATGCAATGAAAATCATGGAATTAACTAATATTACTGAAAGGGATCATTGAAAAGCAGTTAAGTCTAGTTTCTTTTACCTTAAACTTCATCCCCAAAACTAAATGACTATAAAATATTACTAAGCAATACTATGATGTAATTTTAATGTAATTAAAATGTTCAAGCACAACAATGATCATAAGCACAATAAAAATGCTAACAGCTCTTTGCATGTTAATTCTTCTAATGCCTATACACGAAACCCTCATTCTCATTTTACGGAAAAAGTCAAAGAGAGAGAGAATTGCCCAAAAAATTATAAAACAAATTCATTATCTTTAACTCTTTTGTATTTCATCCATCTATTAATTCTCAAAATAACCTTCGACTAAAATCCAACTAAGAGCACCAAGGACCAAAAAACATGAAAGTGATTATCTTGGGAACGGTAACAGTCAATTGAAATTTCAATTTAAAAATTCCCTAACTCCTCAAATAAACAAAATGATCCAACTACAGTGAAGCTTGACATCTTAAAAATACTAGTCAATATAAAACATACCTCAAGAGTTTCCTTTACAAAGCTCTACCTTAATTGTATCATATGTGCTTTTTTTTTAAAAAAAAAGACAAGTTTGATAAGTAAAAATGATGAAATTTTAATAATCAGTCTATATTAAAATTTTAATGACTGATGATAAAATTTTTCCTTTATTATAAAACTCCTTGCTATCTTTCAATGTCTAGTTCAATTCTTACCTCATCCATTATCACTCACCCCAAAGAAATGCCTAGAGAATTTAGTACCTATGCCAGTTACTCCAGATGGTTATTCAGAATTGGGATTTTTGTTTTCAATCATTTATTTACTTATCAAATATTAAAGTACTTAATATGTGCCAAGCACTGTTCGAGATAATGGGGTCACAACAGTGAATAAAACAAAGATCCCTGCCCTCATGGGGTTTATAGTCTAGCATAAGAGTCAGCAACCTTTTACTGTAAAAGATAGGAAACATTTTAGGCCTTGCCAGCCATACTGTCTCTGTCACAAATACTTAACTCTGTTTTCATGCATGAAAGCAGTCATAGGCAACATGTAAATAAATAGCCTATGTTCCAGTAAAATTTTATTTACAAAAACAAGTGACAGGCAGGATTTGACTCACAGACCATAGTCTGCCAACACCTGGTCTAGTAAGAGAAAGAGACAGAAAATAAACAGAAGACATAATAAATAAAATATGTCCTATGCCAGGAAGTGCTAAGCGCTACAAAAAAAAAAAAAAAAAAGAAAGCCAAGAGGAGGGGATCAGAGTTCAGAACAGGAGAGAGGGAAAGTAGGTTGTATTATTAAACAGGCCAAACAGAGTAGCCTCATTAAGCAAGTGACAACTGAGCTGAAACCTGAAGAAGGTGAGGGATTTAGCCAAGGTATATCTAGGAGAAGAGTGCTTCAAAGAGAAGGAACAGCTAGAGCAAGGGTCTTAAGGCATGGGGCTGCCTAATATGTTCCAGGGGTAGAGGGAGGCCAGCAAGGCTGGAGCAGAGCCAACAAGGGGGAGAGTAGTGAAAATGACATCAGAGAGCAGAGGGACAGAGCCACTTGCACAGGACTTTGCAAGGACTTCACATTTCCTTCAGTGAAAACTATCATACGTAATCAGATCTCTTTCTAATTGCAATGGGAAGCCATCAAAAGGTTTTAAACAGGAGAGGACTTGATTTAACTTTTATTTCTGTTTTACCCAATAGGTAAGCATTTTTACATTATCCTATCTTAGAATTTCTTATATGTTACAGGCTCACAATGATTAAAAGTTAAAATGGGGAGAAATTAACTGTGTAATTTATTTGCATAACTTTAGGGCAGCTGAAATTGGCCAGAGCCTCTCATTTAGTACAATAAGCTTCATTCACAAGTTTTATTATTACGTAATCATATAGATTCTCTGAAGAACTTTAAAATATAAAAAATTAAAAACTGAAATTTTCGATCAAATAGAAATCACCTTTTTTTCTTTATACTTACTATTTCTCTTTGCCACCCTTTTATATTTATGTTAAAATTTTACTGGTGATTTCAAAGTTGCTTTCACTGAAGGAAATTTCCCTTTACAGTAAAAATTCCCTGTCAGTAATTCTGTACTAAAAGGAACTTTCATTGAAGGAAATATCCCTTTAGAATAAAAATTCCGTCAGTAATTCTGTACTAAAAGGAACTTTCATTGAAGGAAATATCCCTTTAGAATAAAAATTCCGTCAGTAATTCTCTACTAAAAGGAAATTTCATTGAAAGAAATATCCCTTTAGAGTAAAAATTCCCTGTCAGTAATTCTGTACTAAAAGGAAATTCTATACTTACAGCCACAACAGCTTCGGCTACTCCAGTCAACACTGCTGGCCTAAGAGAATGCAGCAGAATCTTACTCTCAAGTAAAACAAAGAGCAGCAGCGTGGCACAATTCTCAGGACCCAGATTCATTAACAAGGTGCTAAAGTTGGCTCCACTAGAAAAAGAGAGAAAAAGAGATGATTAAGAACTATTTCACTAAAACATGTTAAGATCTGCTTATTAAATTATTTCCTAAATATTAACAGATTGAGAATCTAGCATTAATTTCAAGTCCTGATTTAGTTATCATAGAAAAGTAGCAAATTTAATGAGACAGTATAAAAAAATGATTCAAACTCATCCTTTGGTAACAAAGGGGCATTTATCAGGAAAGATTTTCCTGAAGAACCACCATTTGAACTGAGCTCAAAAGAATGGAGGTAGCGGCTGGGTGGGGAGACAACAAGTACAAAGGCCCTGAGGCAAGCAAAAGCTATTGTCACATTAAGAAATTGAAATAAACCTATTATGACTAAAGCATAGTAAGGAAGGGGGTGAAAATAGCAAGAGACTATGCCAAAATAGAAATGACACAATTATATTTGCATTCTCAAAGGGACACACTGGATGCAGTGTGGATAAAGAGCAGAAGGAAGACAAGAGCAAAAGCACACCAACTAAGAGCTTATTAATGAATCAGTCCAGGTGAGAGATCATGCTAGCCTGGACTAGTGATGCAGACTAACAGAAGCTAATAGATTTGAGACATTTTAGGAGGTTAAAATCAGTTCACCTTGAACATTGAGTTATGAACCGGATACAAGGAGGGGAGATGAGAGGAAAAGGAAGAATACGTATTCCCTACATCCAATCTTGCAACTCTGTTAAGTGTTCCATTTTTAAAATGGTGGACAGCCTCACCATCCATCCAGCTATCAAAGTTGGAAACAGTAACACTATCACTACATAGTTTGTAAAAAAAAAACACTTAATTTTATTATCCTAACCCTTAATATGGTTAACAAGCATTCTGCTCCAACTGGATAAATATATCATTTTAGATACCATTAATTACCTTAGTGGTAAAGGTGTAGAAACTGGCTGTGATAATATTAACGCATCATGGACTGATAGCTTAAAAAAAAAAAAAAAGATAAATTAACCAAGCCAATTTTGAAACCTAAACATTTAGATCAAGACTAAAATGGAAAATAGTTTAATATGCATACTGACAGTTTGGAAACATATACTATAATATAAAACAACAGCTGTATTTATTCAGAGGTATTGTATTAGTTCTTTTTAATTAAATGGCTAATTCAACTGAATTTTGATTCAGTTAACTGATTAAAATATAGTTATTTAAAAATTATGGAATAATTGCCTTTTAAAAGCCTCAAATTTATTTACTCTACAGACTGGTAAGCACTTGGCAGTTGCTTCATGTAGATTAATACTTGCTGAACTAAAGTACATTCAAGATTAACAATATTTCACTTAATGCTACCATATCACATATAATGTTGATAACATCTTGCAAAAAATTTTATAGATCAGTGCTACTCAAAGTGCCAGTCTAGAAACTGTCACTGGTCCAGGAAGAGATAGTATATACACGGAAAGTAAGCCATTTAGAAACTTTTAAGGCAATCTGACACTGCTCCCACATTCAAGTACATGATCAGTGGACTCATGTCTTTGGACAGGGTGTAGACAAGTTCATGTCTATACTGATCTCACATGGTAAGCTGCATATGTCACAAACTATACAGGTCTTCTATAGGTCTGTCACTAATTGCAAATAAAAAGAAACTGATCCTTTAACACAGACAGTGTCAAGAGCACTATTTAAGACTATTTCACTTTGGCCCTCTAACTGTAACTCATTTCATATTTAATATTTATTAGTCACTCCAATATTAAAAACATCCCCATAACATTGTACTGGGTTTTACATTATTAAAATCAGTTACATAAAGGCCATGTATGGACCAATGATGATAACGTCATGAACCAAGGATTATAATTATTCCAATTCTGTATACCCGAAACTCAAAAAACCAGTACAAAAGGATGTTCACTAAAGATATAAAATATAGAAAATTCAAGGACTTTTTGAATGCATATTGCTCCACCTCAAACCCAAAGAACCACAGAATCCACTCTGCAGTGACTAGAATGAACAGATGCAGAGCTCCCCTCAAGTACACTCTTTTTTGATTACCTGTACAAGGATTCTTGGTCTTTGTGGTGAAGGAAAAGGGATGTTGTGCATAAAATGTGAAATGTGCCTGGAAAAAAATTTGAAATAAAGATTATAATTACTTTTCTAAAATGCTTCATAGATTTTAACAAATCTTAAATATCATTATATATCATCCCAGATCTGACAAAGAAACTTACCTAAAACTTATGCTAAATAAATAAATTTACTTAATGTAAATAAATGTATTCATCCTGCTAAACTTCTGAAATGCACAATGTATCTACTGACTAAAAGTTCATATTAATAGACTATTATTTGTAGAAAAATAGGAGTAATATAAATATAGCTTTCATGAAAGAAGCTGATTTTTATTGCCCTGGTTGTCAGTGCCAATATGGGGAGCAACTAATTGTGATATAACGCATTAAAACTAATATAGAATTCAATCTTATTAATTTAATATTAATTTTATTAATATAGTTCTTTTACTACAACTTTGGGCAAACCATTTACTCTCTTTCTCTACCTATAAATAATGCTTCTTAAGTTTCTCTAAAGTTTTGAGCACTTAGGAGCCACTAAAATGCAAAGTACTACTTCAACTGAAAAAAAATTGATCGCCTACGGATTTTATTTTCACAAACTATTCATAGAACCTTAATTTTTCAAATAGGTTGCTAACTTGTCCCTAACATTAAATTTTACTTCAAACTATTTTATCTGACAGCTGAAAAGTAAATCTAGAATTATGAACCATTAGATTGGCATTCCAGGAGCACAACATGAAAGTCGAAACCATATTTTTATACCAAATTGTAATAACTGTATGCACAGTACTTTATTTTTTAAAGTTGATTTTTGAGCAGCGTTATTTTAAAACCTACAGATAATTGCCTCCACCTTATCCACTAAACTAGTGTTTCGCTGATATTCTTTCTGCTACAATGTGAAATTTTTAAATTCATTTATTTATTTATTTAGTGTGTGTGTGTGGGTGTGTGAGGAAGATCAGCCCTGAGCTAACATTCATGCCAATCCTCTTCTTTTTGCTGAGGAAGACTGGCCCTGGGCTAACATCCATGCACAGCATGCCCTGACAAGTAGTGTGTCAGTGCACGCCCAGGATCTGATCCCTGGCCGCCAGCAGCGGAGCGCACGCACTTAACCGCTACGCCACGGGGACGGCCCCAATGTGAAATTTTTAAAATTGTAAGAAAAATCTATGTTTATACATACTATAATACATTTCCACAAAGCTCTTGACACCTCTTGGTTTATTAGCAGGGTACATAAATTATTTACTATAATAAACAAAAGTCAACATGCCACTAGAAGTCAGAAAAGATGTGGTTTTAAAAAGACAGTGGCGGGGCCGGCCCGGTGGCTTAGCAGTTAAGTGCGCGCGCTCCGCTACTAGCGGCCCGGGTTCAGATCCTGGGCACGCACCGACGCACCACTTCTCGGGCCATGCTGAGGCTGCATCCCACATACAGCAACTAGAAGGATGTGCAACTATGACATACAACTATCTACTGGGGCTTTGGTGGGAAAAAAAAAAAAAAGGAGGAGGATTGGCAATAGATGTTAGCTCAGAGCCAGTATTCCTCAGCAAAAAGAGGAGGATTAGCATGGATATTAGCTCAGGGCTGATCTTCCTCACAAAAATAAATAAATAAATAACAAAAAATAAAAAGACAGTGGCTCCATATTTATTTTTCTTGCTTACAAAAGATTTCCACGACAAAGGGAATTACAAATCAAAAGGAAAACACGTAGAATTCTATCAATGCTAAAACCCAAATCTCACTTTTAATATCAATTAACTCACCTTTATTAATTTCTACATCAGTTTAGAGATGTTTTATAGCTAGAATTTGGAATGACCACTCGTATGGTTGGAGTGTGTGTGTGTGTGTGTGTGTGTGTGTAAAATCAACAGCTATTTTTCTCTTGATTAACAGAATGAATAGGAAGAACACATACAATACAACTTATATGAGTTTCCTCCTCAGCTGAATTCTCAAAAGATTATTATTTGGTCATCCTCACCACCACTCCTCAATTTTAAATGTGCAGTCAACGATTCAGGTGAAGAAGGGGGCAAGTTAAAAAGCAGGGTGACTGTGACTCTCCTTCCCTCAACTTTGCTGCTTAAAGTCAGGTAAACAATGAAATGTATATATATACACATCCCGTTTTTCCACCAGACATCTAATTATTACACATACTTTTCAATGGGAAGAGGATGTGGTCCAGACACAGAAAGTTTGTAGACAAACATGAGAAATTTTCTGAAAGCTTCAAAAAAAGGCCAGTGTGAGAGTAAACAAATGCATTTGTTTGAATTGATGGATTTGGAGACCATTTTTCTCTCCACAGGCGTCAAGAGGCCCAGCTGTAGAAGCTGTTTCTCTGTTAGAAGTTCCCGAGAGTAAGGTTCATAAAACTGGATGGCAGCTCCATATACCTATAGAGTAATAGAATTCTGTTATAAGATTTGAGTTTGTTTTTAAAAATTAATTTCTCCTTTTCTCTTATTCTACAAGAAATATTTGCTTAGAGTACATATGACAGAGAAATGAAAAAAAATCTCAAACATTGCTGATGGAAATATAAAATGGTGGAGCTGCTGTAGAAAACAGTTTGGTGGTTCCTCCAAAAGATAAACAAAGAATTACCATATGATCCAGCAATTCCACTCCTAGGTATATACTCAAAAGAATTGAAAGCAGGGACTCAAACAGATATTGGTACACCAATGTTCATAGCAGCATTAGTCACAAGAGCCAAAAGATGGAAACATTCAAATGTCCATCAACAAATGAATGGATAAACAAAATGTGGTATATACATGCAATGGAATATTATTCATTCTTAAAAAGGAATGAAATTCTGATAGATACTGCAACATGGATGAACCTTGAAAACATTATGCTAAATGAAATAAGCCAGACAGAAAAGGACAAATATTATATGATTCCACTTATATGAGCTACCTAGAATAGGCAAATTCCCAGAGACAGAAAGTAAAACAGAAGTTACCAGGGACTTGGGGTAGGAGTAGGGGAAGCTTCTGTTTAGGGTGATGAAAAAGTTCTGGAAATAGATAGTGATAATTTTATAAATATTATAACTATTTAATCACTATATATAGAGAGAGAGAGAGATAGATATCACATTAACCCTTGTCTTTACAGATACAACACTCCCAGATACAATTATTCCAAAGTGATTTCAAAGGTTTTTAACCAGCAACGTGACAAAAGCATCTCAATGAGGCTTTGTTGTTCTCTGCTGGTCAAAGCAAATTTGGTAACTCAGTATTTGAAGATCTTAAAATTTTCATTTATATTTATTGCTTTCAATGAGAAAAACTGTAAATGATTATTAAGCTAAAGAGTCAGCTTAGTTGTAAGCAATCCAGTTAATACAGTATTGGTCTTCATTCAGGGAGTATTTTACTATGTTCGAGACACTGTGCTGGATACTTAACCTTCATTATCTTAATACAGTGGTTGTAAACTTGTAGCCTGTAGAATGAGACCACAGATGTATTCTGTGTGACCCACAAGAGTCAGCTATGATTAGTTATACTTTTCAATAAAATTGACTTACCAAATCTCCTAAGAAAGTTTTTAATTTTAAAATTTCTAATATATCTGTAGTTTTATTTACTTTTTATTTCATAATATTATTTTTGCCATCTTTTTTTATTTTAAATTATCATTCTATGTCATTATTACTGCTTTATACAATACATGCTTTCAATTTTTGGCTACTACATATAAAGCATATACATGTCTTTTGGAGGATATATACACTCACTTCTCTTGGGATATGCTCAGGAGTGTAACTGCTGGGCTACAGGGTTGTTTCTTTCCCTTGCTGATAATGTAGAACTTCTTTATATATTCTGGATACAAGACCCTTGTTGAATACATATATTGCATTATTTTCTCCCAGCCTATGGCCTGCTTTTACACCTTCTTAATGGTATCTTTGAATGAACAGATTTTCTCAACTCCACTTAGGTCTTATTAGTCATCTTTTCTTTTATGGCTAGTGCTTTATGCATGCAGTTTCAACTAGCTTTGCTTATTCCTTCCATTTTAATACATCATCTGTGTTCTGACCCTCATTGTTGTTGAGAAATTAGCCGTCAATCTAATAGTTGTTCCTTTGAAAGCAAATACGTCTTTTCTTTCTGGTTGTTTTTGGTCCTTGTGTTCCACAATTTCACTATAATACAAAAAGACATGGTTTTGTATTTTTATTTTTTCTTTGCTGAAGGTTCAGAGAATATCTTTAACCTGAAGACTTAATTTTTCATTAATGCTGGAAAACTAGCAACCAACTATTGCTCTTAAAATGCTGCCTCTTCCTTTTCTACTCTCTCCTTCTGGAATTCATTAAATATCTACTGGTCCTTCTGATTCTATCCTCTACATTTTTTTTTTAAAGATTTTTTATTTATTTATTTTTTCCCCCAAAGCCCCAGTAGATAGTCGTATGTCATAGCTGCACATCCTTCTAGTTGCTGTATGTGGGACTCAGCCTCAGGATGGACGGAGAAGTGGTGCCTCGGTGCGCGCCCGGGATCCGAACCCGGGCTGCCAGCATCAGAGCGCGCGCACTTAACCACCAAGCCACGGGGCCGGCCCTATCCTCTACATTTTTAAAATTATTTTATGTTTTATGTTTTTCTGTGCCACATTTAAGGTAACCTATCTTCCATTTCATTAATTCTCCCTTCATATATATCTTACCTGCTTTTTAAACTATTCACTAAATTTTTAATTTTAAGGACCACATTTTTCATTTCTAGACATCTGATTCTTTTTCCAATCTGTCTACTCATTTTTCAAAATACTCTGTTTTTTCTTTGATGTTTTGAGCCCCTCTTTTAGGTCTTGAATCATTTCAATTATATATTCAATTTATAATATCTTTCATATTGTCATTCTATCATTTCAGTATCTTGAGGGTCTAATCCAGCTTTGTATTGTGTCTTGTTGATTTCTCCTATGATACCTATGTCTTCTAACTTTGACTATACTCTGATCTTGAGGCCTGGGTTTTAGGGGTGTCTCTCCAGAGAGACTTTATATTTGCTTCTGTACAATCTCCAGGGGTATCAGCATCTTGATACCAATTTTCACGTTGACTTCTCACCTTGGGCATTATAGTACAAATTTAAACTAAATTGTATTGTATCCAAATAATCCTAACATTCAAATAAAACCTATATTAACCATTTTATGGGATAAAATCACGGACAAATTAGGTTTAATAAAAGAGGAAAAAATATACCTTTTCGGCAGAAGAACCTGTCAGGACAAAAGTTGAAAAAACTGGAAGTGGGTATTTGCTTTGGGGATCCCAACATTCAATAGTAGCTCCCATAGGAAGGCAGAAGAGAGGTACAGATTCTGAGAGTGGAAATGACTCATAGTCATCTTCTGGATATCTAAAAATTAAACCTTTTGGAGAAAGGAGGCAATAATGAATTTTTTTTAAATAGTTACTTTTCCATAAATTATACGTGATACCTATTAATAGGATATGTTAATAGCAAATTCCATGGAAATATTTATGTGTAAAATTTCAAAATCAATTTTTCTCTTGCCATATCAGAAATTAAATTAATAAATTTACTCGTTATTTTTTACCCATGGACGTAAGTTCATTCTAACAGTAAAATGTATTAAATATACTAGTTAAAAGTCTATTCAACAGGATCACCAATCTTAATGCATCTTCTTCTACGTATTGCCAACATCTTACAGAGAATGGTAAGAAACATACAGGAAAATTTACCAACTATTTCAGTTAGTCTTCTGTAAAAAATTCAGGGAACAGACAAGTGTTATGAAATAATGCCAAGGCAACAGAAATTATCACAGCCCCTACACTCAGCCTGAGAGAGAAGCAGTGTAAAAGGCATGCAACATGAAAAGTAAATGAGACAGAAACCCTTGGGACTGAGTACAGAGTATGTGAGACTAAAGAAGTAGGAGCAGGGGACACTGTGAGAAGCATAACAAAGCCCCTTCAGAATAAAGCAGCTACATGGCATCAGTTCAGCAGCCTCTGATGTCTCTAATATGGAGCCCATATCTAAGTTAAACACTTGAAAATCAGTAGCAGAATTTTGAGTCCAAATTCAGTCTCCAAAACTCTGTATTCTAAAATATGTCTTATATCAAATACCTGAATACTTTCACAAAGCTTGTTCCTGTAAGTTCTTTTTCCCAAAAAAATGACACTTTCTCCCCACAAAAAAAATTTTTTTAGGAAATCACATACAACCAACATATTACAGCAATGTTAACATTTTAAAATGATACTGAAATTTATAATTGTTAGTTGCTGCATTTTATTTTATTATATAAGCTAAACGGTCTGATTCATTAGTATGAATGTCTTCACGAGGACAAACAAAATTTTTCAGATATGGATTTGCTTGACTTCTCTTAAGTAAAACTTTATTCCAAAAATTGTGCATGATCAAAAAGTAATTTGACACTGCTTCTTTTCACAAAGAAGTATCCAGTATCTCTTCTATTTACAACTGGAGCATACCTGTATTTTCAGTTTTTATCCCACCATACCAGTGGGATGAAGAGGTCACACTTAAATCTTTACAGCCCTTGACACTTTACTGTGCAGTAAGAATGTGGCGATAGATTTCTCAAACACTTCATGGCAGAAAAGTTTCTCAGGCCCTCCTCTCCTCCATATAGCTGATTCTTTGCAACAAGGGAGAAAGGAAGCAAGTCCACCTTTCATGGCAAGTAACATGTGGTTTCAAATCAGACACACAGAGATAAGAGAAGGAAATATAAGAAGTAAAGATGCAGTTTGACACCTTTCTGATTGCCAAAATATAAAAGGTCAGAGAGTAAGCAGTTTTCCAATGAACTGTTAAATCTATTAGTGTAGACTAAAAGCTTGAATGCTTATTCCACAAATGCTTGCTTAAGATGAAAGTTTCTATTTAACTAACAACATGTTTTTGTGTGTGGAGGGGGTAATATTAACATATTTTGTAATATGTAATATGTATTTAAGAAAACTTATGCCTTTACATACTAAAAGTAACATAATCAATTTATGAATAGATCGATTCTACAAACTACATGAGGGAGCATACATTGTCTCTTCTAACCAAATGTTAATGTGCAGTACAGTAATAGAGAATTTTTTTAATGTACTTACCAGCTTTATATGCTATTGCATTAGAAGCAGGCACAGACTTCTTATAACACAGAAACACACTGGAACCCCACTGTAAAACATAAATTAGGTTTAAAAAAGACAAGAGTGAAAATAAATTGATTTTGTTGAATGTCTTCTAAAGATTCTAATTATTTATTCAGAGAAGTCTATTTAAAACATATGTTCATCAAACAGACTATATACTATAAAATACAGCAAAACAGGAAGTTGACAATACTAAAGAAAAGAAAGGAGTAAAAAACACTGCCACAAAAATTAAAATGATGTGAAGGTAGTTTCAAAAAGTTTAGAATTCTGTAATCATCCAAAGACTGCCTCTATTTAAAAGAGTCAGCACAAAGTGGAGTTGGCACTGGAGCCCAAACCAGGGAAGATGGGGGTCACTGGGGTGCTATGAAGTCATCACCTCTAGAGGCAAACCTGCGTCTACTAAGTGCCACAGGTGCATTAGTCACCTCCGCCTATACCAACTTTAAGCTAATATTAGTTTATCTAAAGATATCTAAAGATATCTAAAGATATTTTTCAAAATAAATCTGACTCAGTAAACTCGAGCCTCATAAAACTATAAATCAAATGTATATGTTTTTCATCAGAGCCTTTTAAAAAAATAAGTATGTAAAAACCATAATATTTATTTTATTTTATTTATTTTTTTTTTGTGAGGAAGATCAGCCATGAGCTATCACCCATGCCAATCCTTCTCTTTCTGCTGAGGAAGACCAGCCCTGAGCTAACATCTATTGCCAATTCTCCTCTTTTTTTTTCCCCTTTTTCTCCCCAAAGCCCCAGTAGATAGTTGTATGTCATAGTTGTACGTCCTGGCAGTTGCTGTATGTGGGATGCTGCTCAGCATGGCCCGACAAGCAGTTCATCGGTGTGCCCCAGGGATCTGAACCCGGGCTGCTAGTAGCAGAGCATGTGCACTTAACCGCTAAGCCACGGGGCCGGCCCCAAAAACTATATTTAAAATAATTAAACATAAAGGAAGTCTCTGCAAAGTCTCCCTGCAGTTGTCTTTGAAGACACCACTGAAACGTAAAAGCTAATAAAACCTCTGTATTAGCATAACATAGGCGATATTGGCATGTACAAAAAAAAAAAAGAAAAATCCCTGACTTCAAGTATCTATTTTCTGGATGAAATTATTCTAAAATATCTGATAGCCAAGGACTTTTAAAATCATTATGAATCATAAAAATTAGAGAGCTAAAAGTAATAAAAACAATTATGAAAATATAAATTATACAAGCAATAATAAACAGGAGTCCAAAAATTATATATATATTTTTTTTGGTTTTCATATGAAACTTTGAAAATGAAACAACTTTCTTCTTACCATTCCACAGTTTAAGTTTTTGTCAACTTTGCAGAAAGTATGAGGAGGGGTTTCTCCTTTACTGGTTACAATAACACAGATATCAGTTACAGCCAAGGAATTCTGGGGTCGAATTAGAGGAGCCCTTCGGTAAGTGATAAAGATTCTCTGTGACGTAGTTGAACTATTGTTGACATTGGCACAGCGACCATAGGGTGTGGCTTGGATCACTTCACATCCTGGAATAAGCCTTTCTTTCCCTTCGTATAAAACTCTGCATGGCAGGGAGGGGAGACATAGACAGACAGATAAGTAAACACATTTCAGGTTAATGCCAGTTTTCTTCTTGAAAACAACAACAACAAAAAACCCCTTTCGTCTCTCCTTTGTTTCTCAAATCTTAATTGCAAACCGAAACTAAAATTATTACTTTATAAGAATTATAAATGTCTTAACTACTATTTTTCAACAGGTAGAATATAATTTTAAGAGATGTAAATAGGATCAAACAACTTGATTTTTTATTGCTTATTTATTACAAGAAACATATGAAAGAAGAAAGGGGCAACACCATACACATCTTCAGGTCAATTCCCAGAAGTTTTAATCAAGTATTCAGGTGTTTTCACAAAATTTTCCTTCATAATTCCTGTCAAAATTTTACCTTTAAAAATCCTTTGACTGAAATTACAAAACATTATTTAAAGAAATTACAGATGAGCTAATAAATAAAAAGATATCGCATGGTCACGGATAGGACAACTTAATATTGATAAGATGTCAATATTCCCCAAATAGATTTACAGAATCAACATAATTCCTATCTAAATGCTAGCTGCCTTTTTTTGTAAAAATTAGCAACATCATCCTAAAGCTCAGATGGACACGCAAAGGATCCAGTACAGCCAAAGCAATCTGGAAAAAAAAGAACAAAGTTAGAGGACTCACACTCCCCCAATTCAAAACTTACTACAAATCTAGTCATCAGTACAGTGTGGTACTGGCATAAGAACAAACATATAAATCAATGGAATAGCACAGACAGTCGAGAATTAAACCTGTCCATTTACAGTCAATTGCTTCTGACAAGAGTGCCAAGACTATTCAATGGGGAAAACACAGTCTTTTGAACAAATGGTGCTGGAACAACTGAATATGCAAACACAAAAGAATGAAGTCAGACCCCTTCCTTACACTACACACCAGAAAACTCAAAAAGGATCAAACACTTAAATGTAAGAAATAAAACTACAGAACTCTTAGAAAAAAACACGGGAACAAATCTTTGTGAACTTGGGGTAGACAAAGACTTCTTATATATGACATCAAAAGCACAAGTGACAAAAGAAAAACAGATAAACTGCATTTCATCAAAATTAAAAACTTCTAGAGGAGTGACATCAGCATCGCAGCAGAGTGAGCTTTCCCGTAAACTCTTCCCCCAATAAGATACAACAAAAGGGTCAATCATAGACCAACAAGAGACACTAACACTGCACAAAGGGACATGGGAAAGACCCACAGTGCTGCACATCTGACAGTGGACGTGCTGGGACCCCCTGAGGGAGTGGGGAGAGGTAAGCAGAAATCCTCTCCCTCCCCATCAGATCGGCGACTCAGGTCGCGTGGCTCCCAGACAGAGGGGAGAGGTGGCCCTCTGTGGGGAAACTGTAGGCTTCCTCTTCAGGCTCTCTCAGCCAGTGGGAAACTCCCACACAGAGGACTCAGAACTGCTGGAGGGGTGCCATCAACATTTGAGCACCCCAGGAGAGCGGATAATGAGGGGCGAGCAAAAAGCACCCCGCCCCCAGGGACCCAGCAGGCAAAAGAGAGAGGCCTCCCCCACCGCATGCCCGACACTACAGCTCAGCCGACCAATCAGAACAGCCCCGGAAGAGCGTGGGCAGCCCTCGGTGGCGGAGCAGCCGCAGCAGAGAGCAGCGGGCTCAGATTACACAGCCCTTGACCCCCAAACGGTGACGGCAGGTGAAAACTGCAAACAGATATTGCCAGGATGAGGAAAAACAAAGCCAATACAGCACACACAATGCAAAAGTAAATTAAATCGCAAGACCAGAAAGAAAATGACAAGCACCCAGAAATCAACCCTGAAGGCACAGAAATCCATAACCTAAATGACAGAGAATTCAAAATAGCTATCATAAAAAAGCTCAATGTGAGGCCGGCCCCGTGGTGTAGCGGTGTGCACGCTCCGCTGCTCACGGACTGGGTTCGGATCCCAGGAGCACACAGAGGCACCACTTGTCGAGCCATGCTGTGGTGGCGTCCCATGTAAAGTGGAGGAAGATGGGCACAGATGTTAGCCCAGGGCCAGTCTTCCT